TAAGTCTGCTCGCTCATTCCCCTTTGCGATGTCGCCTGTGCCGGATGTGTGCGCTGCACATTTACAAACGGCAATAGCTGTGGGCAACAAAATGGCATCCAATAGTTCTGCTATCAGAGTGTGGTGTAACACTGGTTTGCCATCCGATTTGAGAAAATTTCTGTGTCTCCACAGCGCGCCGAAATCATGAACCACGCCAAAAGCGTATCTGGAATCAGTGTGAATGGTTGTCGTTTTATCCTTAGCCAGTTTACAAGCCTCTGTTAGTGCGATTAATTCTGCTGCTTGGGCTGAGAGGTGACATGGAAGAGGGCCGGAACACAGAACAGCTGAGTCTGAAACCACAGAGAAACCCACAAGATTAGAACCAGTCAGGGGATCCCGTGTAGCAGATCCGTCAACATACATTACCATGTCACTGTTGAGCAGAGGTGTATCTGCGAGGTCTGGTCGAGGTGTGCACTGAGCTCCCAGCTCAGCCAAACAATTATGCTCCTCTCCATCCTCCGGAGTGGGGAGAAGAGATGCAGGATTGAGGACATTGCAGCGTTTTACTGTAACATTCGGCATGTCTAGGAGACATGTGTGATATCGAAGGTAACGCGCTGCAGATAAATGAGACGACTTCTGTTCGAGAAGAATCAGTGAAACCGAATGTGGAACCAATAATGTTAGCGTAGCATAGCCTACAATGTCACGAGAGGCTGTAAGTGCCTTTTCAGCAGCTGCCACAGCTCGAAGGCACTGTGGTAAGCCCGCTGCTACCGGATCGAGTTTTGCGGAGAAATAAGCTACTGGTCGTAGTTTATCGCCATGGGATTGTAGGAGCACTGATGTCATACATCCAGAACGTTCATCAACGGTTTGTGTGAACGGTTTGTGAGGATCAGGAAGACCCAAAGTCGGAGGAACTTGTAACGCGCATTTCATGTCCGTGAAAGCTGTGTAGCCCTGACACAAGCGTGTGAAAGTGTAAGGCTTGCCATTGAAATTAAACGCAAACCAAAACTGACTGTCAATGTCCACAGGGACACTGAAAAAAGCATTTGAGAGGTCAACCACGGAAAACCATCGAGCATCAGGTGGAACCTGTGCCATAATGGTGTAAGGGTTGGGAACATTTGGGGCTCGTGCGTGGACGGCTGCATTAACTGCTTTTAGGTCCTGCACGAAGCGCCACTCAGTTGGTTTGCCTGCATCTCTGATCTTTTTAACTGGAAAAATAGGTGTTCTTACCGGCGAGTCAGGACATGGAACAATGACTCCGGCCTTTAAGAGGGAGTTGAACACCGGTGTTATACCGTCAATGGCCTCTTGGCGCAGTGGGTATTGATGTTTGTGGGGACGGAAGTCTGATCGAGGAGTGATGACCACAGGTTGACATTTTTTGATGAGTCCCACGTCATATTTATGCGCTGCCCACAAGGTGTCTGGAACAGAACTGAGGGCAGGAGAAATAGAGGAGACATTAGTCAAAAATGTATCAGTGTGTGTGTCAGAAAATATGTTATTTTCATCCATGACATAAACAGATCTGAGAGCAGGTGTGCAAAATGCGAATGGCTGTTTAAAGAAGCCTGTCGACGGAGAGCGCATCACAAGTGGATCTGGTGTAGCCTCCCAATCTGTCAATGCCTCGCACGCTGCGACAAAAGGTCCCAAATCTCTCCATTGGTCTGTTGCTGCTTTAGACAAGGAGATGTGTGGGAAAGAAGAGTCCACATCAAAGAGGTGCTGCTGAGAGGGGGTGAGAGAAACGGAAACAGCACATTTAAGTGTGGACCAAAACAATGTCATACATGCAATTTGATCATTCAGATCCTGTAGAAATAATGCATCATATTGCTTATCTGGCCCATGTGACACATGAGCTGTGCAGTGGAGATATGAAGCATCCATGCACTCTGCCTCAGGCTGGACGCGTGATGCTGCCAGGTGGGACAATTCTGATTGTGAGTCAACCGGAAGCCACTACTGGTACACAAACATTGGATCACTTATAACTGTCTTTGCCATCTGGTCAATGGCTCTGCATCTCACCACTTGCAACCCTGTAGGAGTGGAGATGAGGCTAATGCCGAAAGAACACATGAGGTCTCTGCCCATTAGATTAATGGGACAGCAAGAGGACAGCAAAAAGGAATGTTTTACTGTGATGTCTGGTTCAGGGTCAGTTGAGTCAGTGTGTGTACTGATCATAGGTGCCGTAAATCTCTCTACAATAGTCATCCCTGAAGCTCCTTGTGAGAAAACCTGTTTTCCACTAAGTTTCTGACCTGGAAAATACTTTTGTTGTATTACAGAATGTGTAGCCCCCGAATCAACCAAAAACGATAAAAGTTTCCCTTGAATTTGCACCATAGTGGTGGGCATATTTTCAAATGATTTTCCTGAAAACTTTACATATGTGTGTTTAAGTGAAAGCTTTTGTTGTTTTCTCAATTGCTCTGTGATGTCCACGAGAGCTTGTTGTTGCTCCAGTGTGTGTGTGTGAGTGTGAGTGTGCGTGCAGGGAGTTAGTGCAGAAAGCGTTTCTTCATTGCAGGCTGCGGTGTGTGTGTGTTTTACTTCCCTTATCATGTGAGGCCTCAGCATGGTTGCCGTCTCCCCCTCACATGCAGCCTCCTCCCCCTCCGCCTCACGTCAATCGGAATGTGCGTTGCCAGCCCTTCCTCGTCTGGCCAGTCCACGCCCCCATCCTCTACGAGGTGCATTTTGTGGACATTCTCTGTGCCAATGTCCTTGTTCGCCACAGCGGAAACACGTATCATAGTCATTGGGTGGAGACAGCTGTGATCCCTCCTGGTTCCAGGAGGAGCGTCCCCTCGTCATATCCCGACCACGCCCCCTGAATCCACCCCGTTGGTTGGGATCCCGTGGGCGGTCGTTTCTGGCAAGTTGAGTGACAGCTTGGAGCATAGTCAGTTGGGCGAGTTCAATCTGACGTGAGCGCCTTTTCCCCTCGTGGTCAGTTCTCTCTATGTCCATGGATTGCGCATGCGCAGCATGTTTCTTTACATCCGCGAGTCGCGAGTCTTCCATTCCAGCCACAGAGCGCTGCACATTCATTTTTATGTCGGGCAATAGTCCATTCATGAAAGCATTCTTCAGGGTGTGATTCCCACGTCCCCAGAGCGTCTCCTAACGCGGCGGGTTGTGGAATGCCACTGTTAAGATTAAACACTGTGAGAAGTCTTTGGTAGTAATCATGGACGGACTCACTCGCTGCCTGCTTGGTATTGTTGATGGGAGTCATATCCACTTTGTCAGGGAACAATGTCTTTATGCCCGTCGTTCAAAGCCGTGAGTGCGTCTCTGTACGGCTTATTTTGATTTGAACTCCATTCAACATCTGCCGCACTGGTGTCTCCTGCAACCAGCTGGTTGAGCTTCTGGTAGTGAGTCGGACCCACGTGACTCATTAGAACACGTCGAATTTCAGCAAAGTTGGGCAGGAATTGCTTACAGAAGTCCATGAATGCTTCAGCAAACAGTCTTCCCGAGTGCTGTATCGGCGGGAGATGAGCCATTGCAGCTCTAATGTCCGTATCAGTCCAAGGCCGGAAAACAAGTATGGGACCTGAGTGTCCTGGTACTTGAATCATTGGGGTTTGGAGCACAGATTTTGCATCCGGGGGAACTCCCTCTGGGTCGAAAGAGGGGGAAAACATCTGATGTAGATGGTTGCTCTGCAATCAGTTTGTTGATGGCAGAAGTGTCCCCTCCGGTTGCTCCTGGAGAGCGAGAGCGAGTGAAGAGTGCAGCCTGTCTCTTTTCCTCCTCTTCGCCGAGGAGTCGTTCCTGTGCTGCTTTCACTGCCGCTTCCTTTTCCTCCCTCTGCCGGGTGTAGTGAACTTTGATATGTGCTCCTGCAGACGGAGGTTGCTGGTTCGCAGATGAAGCAGGGTACGGTGGTGGGCATGTGTTGAGGAGAGGGCCGCCAGCCCCTGTGAGACTCGGATACAAGGGAGAAGAAGCACATCGGTCATTTTGTTCAATAACATTTGGATCTGGTTTTTCAACCAATGTGGTTTTTGCGCATGTCAATTCTTTAGCCATTTGTTTCCTTTCTCTACATTCACATTCATCCTCCCACCATTTTAACCATTTACTTTGTTTCTCAATGTCCTCCAAGTCTTTGCCTTTTATCACCCTCTGAGATTTTATACCCTTCTCTTTTCCCTCTGAGCCTGTTCGTAACATGTTCAGTTTTATTCTACTGAAAGAACCATTTGCAGGGAACCCAAAATCTTTTGACCACTCGGGCAAAAACTCTAGAGATTGATCTCCATATTTCCTTCTCATCAGATCCACAATGGGTCCCTCCGGAGAACCCATTTCCTTTTTACCTTTACCGTGTACACCACCCATCTTTCAGGCGTGGTGAAGTATACTTTTTATTACTTAAAATATAGTCGTCACTATAAGTCTTGATTTTCTTTTACGTAGGAAAAATACAAGTTAAAACCCAACCAGAACTATTGGTTAATAAATATAGGTCAAGGGCGCAAATATCTGTTCTCAGATTACTGTCCGAAAACCCCGATATTGTTCCTGTCTTCCTGTTAGGTCAAGGGCTGAGATTTTGCGATTTCAGTGAACTCTCAAAATCCCTCCTATCTTCCCCTTCGGTCAAGGGTCACAATTGTCAATTGCCCCTGTCTTCCCCTTTGGTCAAGGGTCACAATTATGCGTTTTCAGAGTGTTAGTCTGAATACAATCGTAATACGCAAATTGCTCCCTGTCTTCCCCCTTTTGGTCAAGGGTCACAATTATGCGATTTTCAGATAGTTAGTCTGAATACAATCGTAAATGCGCACATTGCTCCCTGTCTTCCTCAGTAAAAAGTTGGATGCTGATGAACCGGAAATACTGTACAATTACTCTTATAATTTTATACACATTTTTCAAATAACCGGATAAAAAGACAAGTTATCATCATTAGAAGCCCAATCAAATAACCGAAATTTGGATTTTCTAAGAAGAGAGAAAAAAAAATCCCAAAGTACTAAATACCCGTCTTTGTTATCTGTTATCACCCGTTATAATTCAGGAAGCCCCGTTTGAAAATCAGAATATCAACTTCTTACCCGATTCGTGTGAAAATCTTCCTCATCGGATCGTGTTGAAGCCAATCAGGTCTCTTTTGGTCGCCGGTCCCCTCTCTCTGAGTGTGATGAGGTATAGGGCAGAATCACGTTTGGTGGATCCTGAAGGGGTCCCTTCCCGGACGTCCTCGGAGTCCCGACGGAGCTTCAAACGATCCCACTTCTGACACCAAATTGTGGTGGAAGATTTTGCACAGACAATCGTTAAGTAAGAATCAAAGGCTCTGAGTCAAGTATGTCTTTTCTCCGTTTATTTCCTTGCAAGGGAAAAAGGGTCACAACAGCTACGTGGTCAGTAGACTGTCAAGAACCTCTTTTTTCCTTCCAACACATCGAGGCAGTTCTTATACCTAAACTTAGATATCGGTGGCGTCAACAGAAACCGTTAACCATCTTGTTGAGTCTCTACAGTCAGGGTACTGGGAACACCTTGCGCATGTGAACCAGACACCAGTTCTTTGACCGTGTCCTTGCTCTCCCAACATGCTTAAACAAAGGTGGTCATAGACATGACAAACACTTTGTTCAGTCTCTACAGCTATGCCGCTGGAAACATCTAATCCAAGTGGGAGACATCAGTTCGTATGTCAGGGCCTTTGTGATCTAAGCACTTGCAACTAATAAACTGGTTATACAAATGAAGCATTTAAAAGGGTCACATATCATTTTCCCATTACACTGTAAAGCCCTCTAAGGCAAATTTGTAATTTGAGATTTTGGGCTATACAAAATAAAATTAATTGAATTGAATTGATTATAAATAATAGATATATACTTTTAACTTGTCTGCAATACTTTTTGTCATGATTATTTGATTCAATTAATTTTATCTGGTATAGCAGCAAATCGTATCTGCCTCATGTGGCTTTGTCCTCTGTCCCTCACATCGGCACAGGAAAAACTCCCCAAACAATAAAAAAGCCTTCGATGGGGAGAATTAAGGGAAGAAGGCTCCTCCTCTGGGACGGACTGCGATGGACATACAGAGTGAACCACGTGAAAGATGTGCAACACCTTCAATTCATATGACACAAAGGATTCAAATATACAGATTATAGTCTTGAATTCCTCATATGTGTTCATGATCATCTCCTGCTCGTCTTCCTTTGAGTTTATTTGCCGTTGTGCTGTTAAAAAATCCTGGTTTCGGTGATTGACCCTTCCACCTTCTGCCGATTATCCTGACAGCATTATCTCCTCATATGTGTTCATGATCATCTCCTGCTCGTCAGCGCAGAAAAAAACGCTCTTCCTTTAAGTTTATTTGTCGTTATGCTGTTAAAAATCCCGGTTTCGGTGATCGGCTCTTCTGCCTTCTGACGTAAGACGATTATCCTGATGACATCTGGTTCAAACTAACGTGACTTGTTTCAGCACGGATCAGCTTTTAAGGAACCGAAATAGCCTGACATCAATCATCTCGTTAATTTGAGGTGGGACAATTGATCGAATTGATCGAGGAACAGGGCCCAGATCTTTGTACACTAACTCCTGTAGAAACATCACGGTAGAAGGTCCAGGGAGCTTGATGGCCCTTTTCTCTCAAAATCATTTTGTTTGTCAATCAATACATTAATCCTATTTGTTGGCCCAACCATGTTAGCATATTCCCAATAAATGCTTAATTCTTCATAAATAAACTTACCAGAGAGTAAAAATATGACTCGAAGGTCATTGATATTCCCCTCTTTCTAAACCACATGACAGGAAATGCATCGAGTGCAAAGTATTGTGGGTGTCCTAGGACTGTGGAGGAAACACACATGCCTGTGTGTCCATCATCTCAGTACTTTTGTTGTAATGGAGACCCTCTCCATCAACTCAGTCCTTCTGTCTTCCTTTTCTTGTGCAGATTCTTCTTGGTCTAAGAGGAGCCCCTGCTCTGTGTCAGGGAAACCCTGTAACCCGTGTCTGGACGCGGTGAAGGCCTGCAACCTGAACGAGACATGTAAACGCCTCCGATCCGCCTATACTTCCATCTGCAGCAAGGCCACGCCCCCTCAGCCCTCTCTGGCCAATCCGGAGCCCTGCAGTCGGAAAAGATGTCAGAAGGTCAGAGTCAGAGTTATTTTAATTATATATTTCCTTTTTGTCTTTCTGTTGAGAGTAATTATGTTTTTACCAAAAACTGCATTCTAAGAATATGTTATAACAACAATACTTTAATACTTTAACAAACACAGAACAAAAAGAAGAAAAAGAAGGAAATAGAACAAACATTCAGTAAAAAGAGAAAGTGCACGGAAACGGTCATGTAGTGGAGGGTTAGCAGTTAAGGGGGAGATTATGTGAGAGGGTTTGATGTAATCTTCAACATTCACCATCTCCATGATCTTCATCTTTGCCTTTACCCCCTTCATCTTCTTTTTCTCCACCATCTTCTTCTTGATCTCCTTCCTGATATCGGAATCACCATCCTTCTTCTTACCCTGCCTTGTCATCATCTTCACCATCTTCTTCATCATCATCATATGATATGATGATGATATAACATATCATCTTCTTTAGTCACAGTGTGTGAGCTCCCACAATGCATCTGCATGAACACATGAGGTACTGCGTTATGGGGACATTGTGGATAGATCACTGCATACTAAAAGTAATATATCTATCTAAATATATCTGAATATAAGTATGTGTGTGACTCCATCAGTGGCCCTCTGTCCTCAGGCCCTGCGTCAGTTCTTCGAGCGGGTCTCCTGGGAGCTTACCTACCCCCTGCTGTTCTGCTCCTGTCCCGACCAGGCCTGTGCCGAGCGCCGCCGCCGCACCATCGTCCCATCTTGCTCCCACCAGGAGAGGCACAAGCCCACCTGCATGGACCTCCGGCACACCTGTCGCTCCGATGCCCTCTGCAGGTGAGGACCTAAACCCGCTGGGTCACGCTGTCCCCGCTCCGGAGGAGCTTCTGCCTGAAGCTGTTCTTCTCTGATTGTCATCAGGACTCAATCAGGGAAATCAGCTGCTGGAGGGTTTAATTAGAGAGGAACGTTAAACACTCAGGCTCAGAATCGCACTTCTGATTGATAATGGACGACTGTAAAGGTTACAGGAGCTTCAAGTGGAGGTGAATTAGTAACACATCCCCTCACCGAAAACAGCTGAGCTGCCCTTCAGAGGAGAACAGGGCTGGAACAAGACACATACTGGTTGTTAAAAGTTGCATGAAAAAGTTTAATTTGAATATTCATTTATGGAGGGAGAAGGAGAAGAATAGGTGGAGGAAGAACCTTTGTTTTCACGTTGACGTTTTCATAATAAAAATAATGGGAGGTGATGATCAGCATACTGGGCTAACGAGACCGGTTGCCATGGTAACCAGGAATCTCCTCTCTGCGGACAGTGATGAGATGTTAAAGTATGAATTGCAGTATGAAAAACACATACTGTGTCAAACTGTGTTTGAATGTGTGACCAGGAGAAGGTTCTGCGTTCGAACCAGCCCAGCGGCCTTTCTGGGTGGAGGGTGCATGTTCTTCCTGTGTTTGCATGGGTTCTCTCCGGGTCCTTCAGCTTCCTCCCACAGACTGAAGACTTGGAGGTTGACTGATGGGTGTGTGAATTTGAGACTGGATGGCTGTGTGTCTCCGCCTCAATGTTAGCTGGGATTGACTCCAGCCCTTGACCCTCCTAAGGATAAACGGTATATTGGACGGTCGATTGAGGTCAAACTGTGATTCAGGGTTCAGGCCCCTCAGAGACATGTGATGACGGGTCGGTAAGGACGGGTTAGTCACTGATGCGGACACCTCCTGTGACTTCCTGTGAGCGGCTCTCAGAGGTCTGGGGAAGGTCAGGACAGCTTTATTCAGAAACAAGAGTGTTTCTTCAACCTGGGCCCTATTCCTAACTAAGTCAATCAAATGCCCCATTATCCACCTCAAATTAACAAGATGATTGACGTCCGGCTATTTCGGTTCCTCAAAGGCTGATCTGCGCTCAAACCGTCTCGTTAGTTTGAACCAGATGTCATCAGGATAATCGTCCTACGTCAGAAGGCGAGCAGGGGATGATCATGTGAGGAGATAATATGTGAATTTGAATCATTTCTCTCGGATAAATTGAACGTATTGAACATCTTTCGCATTGTTCATTCTCTACGTCCATCACAGTCTCTCCGTCCCGGGGAGGATCCTTCTCTGTCTCTCTAAAGGTTTCTTCCCTTTATTCTCCCCATTGAAGGTTTTCCTTTTTTTCCCTGTGCTGATGTGAGGGACAGGGGGTGTCACATGTGTACATACTGTAAAGACCTCTGAGGCAAATTTGTGATTTTGTGCCTTTCTGCATCGCAACGCTGTACAAACATACATAAGAGACAGTATGAGAGACTGTATGAGAGACAGTGTGTGTGAGACAGTGTGTGTGAGACAGTGTGTGTGAGACAGTGTGTGAGAGACAGTGTGTGAGAGACAGTGTGGGAGAGACAGTGTGGGAGAGACAGTGTGGGAGAGACAGTGTGTGAGAGACAGTGTGTGAGAGACAGTGTGGGAGAGACAGTGTGGGAGAGACAGTGTGGGAGAGACAGTGTGTGAGACAGTGGACAGCTTGGCTACAGCGTGTGGTGTTCATCGCGTAATGTTTGAATGATTCCTCTCTTCAGCATCAATGGCGGTTGGTACAGGAAGTGATGTCATAGTGGGTCTTGTGATCTGGAGAATTCTCTCCTATAAAACGCTGATCTAGCTGATGTCGCTCCTTCATCAACGAGGAAGAGAGCGGCCCTTTTTTTCTATGGAGAAAACTAATCCAGCAGCTCAGATGAAGTTTTTGGATGTGACGTCTCCTCGTGGTGCCTGTGACCTCCATCAAGCAGAGATCTCTCTCTACGCAAACACACGGCGGAGCAGCTGAACTGCTTCTCAAACCCCCGGCGAGGAGGCCAATTGAGCGCGGCGGCGCTCCATTACACGGTCAGTGAGGTGAGGTAGAGGCTTGATGGAGAGATCACACAGGACAGCGGCATCGCAGCAGGCCGTCTCACTTCTTCTCAGCGAGGGACAGGTTACACAAACTCATCTCATTTCCTCTGCCTCATACAGGTGAGACGAGTCTGCGAGGGGAAATAAGGGCAGTGAACCCGATGAGGAGGAGGTATAAACCAGGCTCCTCTCTCTCAGCTCATTCTTGTATGCAGATATGTGCATATGTAAATGAGCTGTCCCACTTAGGGAATGTTAATTACACCGAACACAGACAAAATAAAGCAGCTATCACCACAAACACCAGCCCATTTCCTGCAAGTGGTTGAAGACATCTCGACAGAACGCTTCAGTGGCAACATGATGGCTTATGAATCAAAGATCATCTCCCCAAACACACGTCACGTTGCATTGAGGTCTTCATTTCAGTCTGAAGCCAACAGAAATCCAGCATTTATTGTTTCCCTTCTGTGACGGCACTCATCAAATAACGGAATCAAGTCAGCCTTCATTCAGCGTGCGACACACCTCTTTGAGAACATCCTTGGTTTATAGTCTCCACCATCTTGGGTTTTAAAACATCATCATTTTGGTTATTTAGTAGTCACCATCTTGTGTTTTTTGCTACCACAAGTCTACCACATGCTGTCGATTAAAATCACTCATCAAAAACTAATATAACAATGTTAGCAGCAGGAGAACAATCCGAGCCTGGGCTACAATGCAAACTAAACAGTTTGGAAATGCTCCCAGCACCACTTAAACAAAGATTAAGAGTTACCAAAATACAACATCCACATCTCGCCAAAACTGAGCACACTCGGTGCATTTCAGGACCTCGGTCGATCAAAGCTAGATGCTAACAAACAAACTGAAACGGCAAGAGTAATGAGCAAAGAAAGACAAATTGCATCATGGCTCCAATCATATGTGCTCCTCACCTGTTACACACAAATCGTTCCTTTCCGTTTCATAGTTATTTCTGAGGCTCTGGTGAGGAACTAATCTTGAAATTTCTTTCTCGTCAGCGTCATTGAGCACACGTTGTTAATTCTCCCCTGCTAACAGAGCTGTCGCTCTTCTCCATGTGCGCCTGGCGAGATCCTATTGCTTCTGACAATTAAAACGAGGTGCTTTCAAACTGAAAAAAAAGATATCCAAATTCTGATTTTGAAAACCTCTTCCGTAATTCTCCCGTAAGACCTGTACTAAAAGCTCTCTAACTTTGTTCACTTCATCAAAGTAAGACAAAGCCTGACATCTCCATGTTTTGAAGGGCTGCATACCTTCTAAGTGCTTTTTCTCAGGTGAATCTTTAACCAGTGACATATACTGATATTATACATCTCTACAAACTGCTGCACAAGTGTTTCATTGTGGCACCAAAATGATTAAAGTATGCCTTGTAGTAGCATAGACACAGCCTTTTAGTATGTGCATGCAATGTTGGAGCGGAGGCCCAACATGGGGCTGCACCATATTCTCTCACAGTCTCTGTTTGCAGATGGCGTCATCGGGCAAAAGACTGGAGGGTCGCCAGTCAATCGCAGGACTGTGTCATCATTAATGATGGTAGTGTAAATAGTGTATCTATGTTATTAGACAAGATCAACACAGGAATATATACATCGACTGTGTGTGTGTGTGTGTGTGTGTGTGTGTGCCGTTTATACCCATTAAAGGAGAGGCGATAATTGAATAACATTTTCTGTTCCACCATGACTGACAGGTCAGGGTCAAAAAGAGACTCACACAGTGTGTGTCACTATGTGTGTGTGTCAGAAAGACAAAGTGACAGAGAGACACTGGAGGAAAGTGTGTGTGTGTGTGTGTCAGTGTGGATTATGATTCTGGCTTTTGCCTCAAGCTGACAACATTTGCAAGATTACCACACACACACACACACACACACACACACGCACACATGCACACACGCACACTGACCTCGGTGTGAAAGTCAGAAGCACAGCACTCAGATCTGTCTCTCTTTTCCTTCAGCCGACAGACGAGCAAACGCAAACACTCTCAGTGACACATTCATGAGTGAGTTGTGTTTGTGCAGAGCATCACACACAAACACGCGCACACACTAAACAATGATGATGATACTTTCTCAACACCCTGCTGATTGAACCATATGACGTCCTTCATCTTCCTGCGCCTGGTCATCTCAGCAGCCTCACACACTTCTTCTTATGAGTTTAACACCAATAAGGTGAAGAAGGAGAAAAAGCGTCCTCCTTTGAAAAGGACAAAGAGAGATAGTAAAAAGACGACATTAAATACATTATTGTTTATATGCGAGATACATTGTGTTTAACATAAAGGTACTAATAATTCAAAAATCTATATCAAGACGCAGACAAGGATCAGGACCTCACAACACACGGGACCGAGGTTCCGAGTCAGACATTCCATGACGTGACAAGAGACTCCATCCATCCATCCATCCATCCATGGTCGCTGGAGTCCATGCCAGCCAACTTCGAGCAATAGACAGGCTACACCCTGGATTGGTCGCCAGCCAATCGCAGGACTACACAAAGACACACAACCATTCACACATCTATAGGCAATTCAAAGTCCCCAATTAACCTGATCCCCGAAGCCAGAGTACCCAGAGAGAACCCACGCAGACAACATGCAGACTCCACACAGAAAGGCCACTGGGCGGAGTGGAACCCAGGACCTTCTTGCTGTGAGGCGACAGTGCTAACAACCGCGCCACCGTGCCGCCCGACAACAGACACACATTTCTTAAATACGCCGGGAAGGTGCAGATGATTGGACACGGGTGGAAACAATCATGGACACGGCAGACAATCACAGGGGATTACAGGACAAGGCAGGAAGTGAATCTAACCCAGGAGCACCATGAAACTACAAAAATAAAACAGAAAATAAACCCAAACGGTGAGATATAGCCCCAAATCACAAATTAACCTCAGAGGACTTTACACTACACAGGGCTGTACACATACAACATCCTCTGTCCTGAAAACCCTCACATCGGCACAGGAAAAACTCCCCAAAAATGAAAAACCTGAAGAATCCTTAGTGGTGGATCCGTCTCTCGGGATGGACAGACTACAATGATGTCACGTGTAAAGAATGAATAATGTATAATACATTCAATTCCTATGACAGAAATTATTCAAATAATTGCGAGTAGTAAGCAGGTGTATGGCAAGACCACTGCAGGGACCAGCACCTTAGCTTTAACTTAGCTGAAGCTCTGTGTCAGCGGTCCAGTAAAAAAAAGCACTTAGGCAGTCTTTTAAATGTAATCAAACATCAACTAATTCAACTAACAAAAATTGGCTGCTAATAATTTGTCAGAAGATATATATATAATTTTATCACTTAGAATTTATCTGCCTGGTCCCTGCTGAGCCGAGCCAAAGACGACCTTCCTCCTCCAAGTTCAGAACATTTAGACGAGGAGAGGGAGCAGCGTGAATGGGAGATGGATGGAAGAAGGTGGTTTTGTGATGTGCTTGACGTGACGTTCCAAGGAGAGGTTTGGAGGGAGAAGTTTTGGTGTGATTTGTTGAGTGTTTTGGGGCCGATGATGAGGCTTTTGGATTTGTCGCTGTTGAGTCTGAGGAAGTTGACGAGCAGGGCATGACATTAACATTTTTGCATTTTGCAGCCACTGGGGCTACTGGTTTTCCAAAGTTACTAGTGTCAGGATCTCCGATCCCCCGAGTTGGTTGATGAGAAGGATCCAACACGTTGATCAATTAAAGTCAAAAAGTTAACATTTATTTAGAAGATAAAAAGATTACATGAGCAATTCTCCGCAGATATCTGGCTCTAACTATTGCTTGCAAGCAGGAGGTCCAACACACCAGCACGTATTCCAGCGCTCTGTGTAATGACGTCCCCGAGCAGTAAAAACGCTGAGTTTTTATACACTTGAAGACAGTTCTTAGCGCCAGTTTCGAGAAGCCACAAATCAAGTTGAGATAAGAACTCAGGTGAAGCTGAGGGTACCACACCATGCTCCTCTGATCGAAGGTCCGTGAGAGCGAGATGACCCCCTTCCCCAAACACATCTCAGGGTCAACCACTGAGACTTGGCTTTTAGCGCCGGACAAATGTTTACAACATGTTTTACCACTACATGCATCTCACACTAGCCACTCAGCAATTTCATTAGCCACAATTTTTGTTGTTGGGAGATTTTGTTTAATTTAATTTACTGTTTGCTACAATTTACTTGAAGACCTAGATTTATAATCCTTTCACCATTGAAAACACCCATATATATATATAGTAGTCGGTTTAAATGAACCAGCGCTGTCACCAATGTGACTAAGCGTTCTGGGCTAATGGATGATGCACTCATGACACATTAATCAGGAATCAGGAAACATGTATTGCCAAAATATGTCAAACATACAAGGAATTTGTCTTGGCAGTTGGTGCGTGACAGTAGACAGTGTGACAATAGACTACAAGACAGCAGTGCACAGTAATAAAATAAAGTAAAATGAAATGCTGATGCAATGGGGCAGTAGATTAAGGCTATGGGGTTAGTATAATACAAGAGAATGAAGGTAAAGTTAAGAATTTAATATATTTAATAGGGTTATATATATTAAGCATAAAGTGCACTACGCGGAACAAGTAAGTGGCGACAAAGTGAGAAATGACAGTAAAGTGGCGTGTGCAGTATGAGGGGGAGTGACCGGTGGGATGTTATAGTCAGTCAGTGGGGGACCGGCTCTGTTGATGAGCCCGACTGCCGACGGGAAGAAACTGTTGGTGTGGCGGGAGGTCTTAGTCCTGATGGACCTCAGCCTCCTGCCAGATGGAAGGGGCACAAACAGGTTTTGTCCGGGGTGAGAGGGGTCGGCTACCATCTTTTTAGCTGCTTCAGGGTCCTGGTCCAACCACCATTTTGCCTCTATGGCAACACTGGAGGGACATGCAAAAGCATCCCAAAAATAGAATTGCACCCACCAAAGTGGCCAGTAAGAGTGAGTACTTTACCCGCCACAGGCTTGTATCGAGGTCTTTATATTTGTGAGGCAGTAGTGGTTGGTGGAGTAGCTGGTGAGTGTGAAAGATTTAATGGAGATTCAGCAGCTGCAGGAGGGGACCGAGTACTGAACCTTGGGGGACACCTCGAGAGACTTGGTCTGAGACAGACTTGGATTTTGATGGTGCTTTAAAAATTATGACTTGAAACAGGAGATGGATGTGCCAGTCCAACGCTTAGAGCTGCTCTTCCTCTGCTCCTTCCTCTTCTTCCTCCTCTTCAGGTCCCGGCTGGCTGACTTCCACAAGAACTGCCATACAACGTCTGAGAGCGTCACTGGCTGTCCTCACAATAACTACCACGGCTGCCTAATGTCCTACGTCGGCCTCATCGGTGAGTTCCTCCTCCTCATCCCATTAATTTTATTATTTCTTCATGAGGTCGTGACTGTGAACTCTCACCTCTTCTCTAAACCGCGGCTTATTTTTAATTAGCATATTTCATCATATTTTGGGAACAAAGGGGACTTTTTTCTTCAGATAATTCCACAAACTTCATTATTCTTTGGGTATTATTATTACAATGAGAGGATTTGCAGTTGACGGCTCTTTGTTGGAGAAACCCATTGCAGGGGACTCACTTCCTCGCTGGAAATCCTCCGCACATTCAAATCCCAATTTCCCAAAATCCTCTCCTGCTTGCTTTGGTGACTAATCTGCATTCTGCCGCTTATTCCTCTCCCCAATGAACTCCCTCTCTCGGTTTCTACCTCAGGCTCTGACGTGACGCCCAACTACAGCGACAGCAAGCCGTCCAACATCACCATGAGCCTGTGGTGCACCTGTAGGGGGACAGCCAATCAGGTGCACCAGTGTGACGCCTTCCACCGGGACTTCACTCACAACACCTGCCTCAGTAAGTGCTGACAGAGTCGAGTTCGCACTCCTCAGCTAATTACAAACTCCACACATTTTATGTTTATTAAATACTTTGTGTTTAGTTAGTATGTGAACAGTGTTTAATGGATCAGGATATTTATTATTTCAAATATCCTGTAAAACGAAGGTTGTAACCCTGGTTCTGGCTCAGGACATCCAAAGTCACACATGACCTTGTTGGTATGAAGACTCGACCTGCGTTGGATGGAGACAGAAGATGTCCAGCGTTAAGCGTGACTCGAGTCAACTAGCATAGAATAGAATGTTTGATAAAGTGCTTCACGTGGAGATGAATTGAAGAGTTTCTCACCCTGATGATTCACAGAAAATTCTATCCAGTCGTTTGGCTACGGAGGAGAAGGAGGAACTCTTCCTGTGACGGAGCCGTCGTCCACCTTCTTGCCCCCTGCCGGGCCCCCAATCATCTCTAAGCCTGCCCCCCCTTTCCACGCTGACGCCCTCAAACCCCTGGACGGCGCCTGCGTGTTCTCCACCTGCGCTAACCTGCAGGCGAGTTCTCCAAAACATTGCATTGTGTGTATTTGATGTATTCTATACAATAACATTCTGAGATCATGTGATCTGTAACTTCCCCCTTCTGCTGGGATCAGAGGCTCATCTGGAGCAACCGAGTTTACAATAAACTAAGAAGCTTCATCCATACTTCAATAACAGAATCACAAACTTTTTGATCTTCCACCAACAAGTGAGTAGTTTCCTGTGAACTTTATTTTAATAAGACCATTTACAAGAGAAGAGCGTTGCTGGACTTTATTATAAAAAGGCCAAAAAGATGGAGTAACTTCTATTAAGAAATCTTAAGATGGATGTTTTTGATACTCTGGTGACGATGTCATTTCATTTCTACTCACGTTCAGAACTAAAGACAGCTCAGTGGCTTTGATTGGCATTCATACATATGGATTCTTGTACTAAACAACATACTAACTTACCTGTTATATGGTGTGCTTCATCTCCTATTCTGCATATGGTGCAGAAACATTTGTTTTATTAGTAGTGTTGTCAGTTCCGTCTCCTCTAGTTTTCTTAGTCATGTAAAGTTCTAGATATCTGTGTCAGAAAGAGTGAGAAACACATCATAGAGAACGAAGAAGATGATGTTTATTACCCTTCACACACATTATTCCTCATCCTGCCTTCCATTACCAACAGGAAGAGGAAGGCCACCATCATTATGTAAGAGATTCACAGCATGAATTACAGAAGAGTATTTACATAGATAGATGTATATATATATATATATATCTTTGGCTGGTACAGTACATATTCATCTCTAGAGGACGTGGGTTCTAGGGTCCCACAGCAGCAGAGATGGAGCTCCGACAAGCATCACTATGTCCCTGACGCATTCATTCTTCTTACCTCGCAACTTGTTTTTTTGAATTGAAATTGAATTGAATTTCCCACGGAGCACATGAGCATAACATCGTGTTCTGAAAGCTTTGCTGAGCCGTCAGTTTACAGGAAACGACCTGCAGAGGCGTGAGTCAGGGGAACTCTGACATAACAGTCAATGTGAAAATTGTTGGCATGTCTTTTTGCGGAGGCACACGCGTGCATTTCAGACGAGGTTATAATGATCACTGCTCACTTTTCCTTCTGGTGGAGCGATACGATTCCATCTGGCAGGAGGCTGAGGTCCATCAGGACTAAGACCTCCCGCCACACCAACAGTTTCTTCCCGTCGGCAGTCGGGCTCATCAACAGAGCCGGTCCCCCACTGACTGACTCTGACATCCCACCGGTCACTCCCCTTCACACTGCACACGTCACTTTAACTGTCATTTCTCACTTCGTCGTCACTCGTCACTTGTTCGCTAGTGCACTTTATGCTTAATATTTTTTTACTTTTATTAACTTTATTCCCTTGTTTTATACTAACCCATAGGCTTATTCTACTAACCCATTGCATTAGCATTTCACTTTATTTCATTACTTGTGCACTGCTGTCTTGTTGTCTATTGTTTCACTGTCTACTGTCGCGCACCAACCGCCAAGACAAATTCCTTGTATGTTTGACATATTTTGGCAATAAATGTTTCCTGATTCCTGATTATGATAAATGTTGTTTTTCATCATTGAGCTGCAATCGAGCTTCAGACAGTGACTTCATTTCATTCATTGTTTGATTCTTCTCTACGGAAAGTGTGGATGTCAAGAGTCTTTAACCACGCATTGCAAGTCGATTCAGAAAGAAAGCTTGAGAGGGGGAACTCACGGTCCACAGCGGGACCCCAGTGATGTCTGTGGCTTGACCAATCAGATTTCAGAGCAATTTCACCAAGAGAGAGAAAGCAAAGCATTCAAAAGTCAGCCTTGGTTTTATGCTATAGTGGGAGCCCAACACTATTAAATCCAAAATTCAAAAAACAAAACACCAGGGGGGAAAAAAAAAAGACACGGAAAAACGCAGAGGGGGAACAGGAACTTACACAACAGAGGGACGAGGTTCAGCGTAGACATTCAAGATGTTCATGGCTCAAAGATTCAGGTTTAACATGCAATGACGTGACAAGAGACACAGGGCTTAAATACACCGGGAAGGTGCAGGTGATTGGACACAGGTGGAAACAATCATGGACAGGCAGACAATCACAGGGGACGACAGGACAAGGCAGGAAGTGAATCTAATCCAGGAGCACCATGAAACTACAAAATAAAACGTGAACCCAAACCGTGACAACGACTTCTTGTTTTACAGGACGGAGGCCTAAAGTGCATCTCCTCTGAGGACTTGGAGTGTGAGGAGGTGAGGAGCTTTGATTATGGAAATAACAACTTATAGAACATTTCGATGCATTCATGACACCACACACAAACACATATGGATCCTCCCATGTCCGCTCTTCTTTATTGGTATTTGAGTTGATGGATGATGTACCATGTGTCAGATCCAGGTCTCTGTGAAGTGAAAAAGCTTCAGGATAGAATGATAATATTCATATATATTTTAATAATGTCAGAATCAGCTTTATTTGCCATGCATGCTTACGCATACAAAAACACACATACAATAACATGAAATGTACACTCAACATTATGAGGGAATGAATATAAGATATATATATATATATACACAGTGCCAGTAAAAAAAAATGAAGGCACTTCAATTCAATTGAATTTACTTCATTTGAATACACCAGTAAATTTACGTAACTTAAATACACCATTCACACCGGCGTCAGCTACAGGCTCATTGAGTTAGGGTTAGTATGAGCTGGAGGCGAGACAAATAAAAACAGAAAAGGTACAAAGGAGTACCGAGGCTGTCATCCACCTTGCATATCGAGGATAGACAATGATCAGTGGAGGCACAGGACCGACTCTCTCTGAGCTTGTGTTTCTCTTCGACCGTCACAGCCAATCAACACTAAAACAATAAAATTCAGCCTCCAGCTCCGCAAATATCAATTCTCTGTCCCCACTGTGCTGTGAGCCCCAGCACCACAGCAAAGGTTCCTCCTGCAGAACTTCCATCACCAAACAGGCCCTCAGGAGCCAGAGAGGTCTGTGGATCCAAAGCTCGGATCCAGAGCCTGAGAGGTCTCAGGTTCTGGATCACACTCATTGGGAAAGCTTTTGGATATACTTGTCTCTTATTTGATCAGTTTGACCCCATGAAGAGTTTTAGAGACAACAAAACATATTAAAATACATTTGTGAATTTAGAAATCTTGACACTTGTGGTAGAGTGATTATGAAACATGACTTGATCTGTATTAATAACCCCCCACAGGCTCTTTTAGCTCGGGACTCGATCAATGCTCAAGACTCTGAAGGACCGAAGAGCAGCAGCCGGGAATCAGCTACTCTCCTCCTCTGTGTGTGTGTGTCCATCCTGATTCTACTCACGGTCTCATAGACACAAACTCACACACACACTTAAATGTCAAGACCCAGAGAACGTCACGTGACTCGATGCCCTCCGCTACGAGAAAATGCCAACCAGCAGACGTCCAAACATTAATGAGAAAGCTTTCGAGGACGTTCGGATTATCCGTCTCTCTCTACTACACACACACACACACACCCACACACGCAAACAACCACACACACACAGAAGAAGAAACTGTGTTTTGTGTGAGAGACGGAACAAGCTATGAATCACTGCGTCCAGTGGTTATGGATTTGAAACAATTGAAAAAAGCACACAGACACACATAAAAACACACACATAGACAAACACTCACTCGCACAACGAGTGTTGAAATGGTGAGACAGACAGAGGACAGTTGTTTTTCATGTATCACTCCTCTGGAAGACATCTGTACTTCACACACGCACATGTACACACACCTACACAGCCAAACACACACTACCCCCCCTCCCCAAGACATCGCTAGCAGGTCGCACACCATCGTGCTGTACACTACGTCTCTATCACCAGTTTGTTGTTGTCATTCTGTACAAACTTCCTTTAATATGAACTGGGATCTTTAAAGGGATTGTGTGTATCTCACATAGATGTATCGTTGTGTGTGTGTGTGTGTGTGTGTGTGTGTGTGCGCATTGTGCAATGTGTACTTTACCTCCCGTCATTGTGGGGTATTTTCTATTTGTCCGAGCAGGATGTGACCTTGTACGAGGGGGGGCAGGGAGACCCAAAGAGAGGGAGAGGTTTGTGTGACTTTAGTGTGGCCTCTCTGCCCTGTGGCGTCTCACACACTGGGAGGAGATAGAGGGATTATTGGCCTGCTAGTTGAGAGAAGATATTATAATGTCCAACACTTAAAAAACAGTCTGATTAGACAAGTTGTGAGTGTGAGAGACTTGATACTTGATAAACACCCTAAACCCTGGGAGAGAGGGACCTGAGCCGCATATAAATGACAATACAAGTTATATGTATTATTATTTATAGAATATTCACAGAATTCACAGAATATCTGTTCTGCCAACCAAATTACATTTCCTCTTAATCAGGAAATTGGATTGACATTTCATTTAGATTTTATTAAGAATGTTTGCTCATTAAATCAATTTAGAGATTTTCTTGATTTAAGAAACATTTCTATAGTGGGATAGAAAAGAGATTCGTGGTCAGTAAAATGTAACAAAAAAAAATACTGAGGACAAAAGAGGGCACCACAATAAATTATTTTGGGACGCCACATGTTAGTCATACTAAATCTGATTTATATTTATAAAGTTTCTGACCAGTGAGATCATCTGACACCCTAATCTGAAGACTGAATTAGCTAACCAGTGGAAACATCTACATCCACAACCACGTCGGGATGAACTCTTCGTTGTAAACCTAACTAAGACCAGATTGTCTGGCTGAACGATCACCGGAGGATCGAGGCCACTAGCTGCGCTCGGCGCTTTCTGATCTATAGAAATGCAAAGACGAGTAGAGGAAAAACACAAAAGTGAGGTTGTATATCTGCTGATATATTTGGAAACTTAAACAACGCTGCAGGAGGGTAAATGAAATATGTGTCTGGAGATGTAAATAAAAGCAACAGCTGTCGGCTTCTCTGTGTGTGTATTCTCTCTGTTAGCATCTTGTATGGCTAACAATACTACAACATAAGTGTCCTTCCAGAAAGACCCGACCCGAACTCGGTTCAAGAGCGCTCATGCCCGTTCTGCCGCTCGCCATGCCGGCTGTCAGGGTGACGGTATCAAATGTTCCGCCGTTTGTCCCAGGCGAAGCACTGCTCTGGGAGCTGGTGAAACACGGGAAGATGGTGTCCCAGTTAAAGAAGGTGTCCTCGGGGTGCAGATCTCCTTTGCTGAGACATGTGGTGTCTGGTGTCCACATGGTCCTCACCAAAGCCCAGGCTCTCAGCCTGGTGATCAAGGTGAGGATCAAAGGGTTCGACTACCTGATGTTTGCTACATCGGATGACGGGAGGTGTTGTGGTGGAGAGGGACACCTGGCGAGGGTTTGTCCGGAGAAGAACCCCTCCACTCGGGACCAGAACCGGGGGGAGGCCAGGAAGGAAGAGGGGGCAGGTGAGGACCAGCGGATCGGTCTGGTGGGAGAGGAGATGGGGAGGTCCAGCAGGTGGGTGAGGAGATGGATGAGGAGGAGAGTTTGCGGCTGGTGAGTCCAAGCCGGTTGGTCAGATGGGTGAAGGGGTGAGTGTGGAGCTGACTGTGGGGATGGGTGTGGCCTAGCCGGTCGGTCAGGTGGGTGGAATCTCGGACAGCAAGGAGGATATGGAGGAGGGGGGGTGGGCTTACCTGACGAGGAAGTCTAGGGCCAGCAGGGAGGCTCTCACGCAATGAAGGGGGGGCGGCGAGCCGAGGGGAGGCGGGAGGTGGGGAGTCCGAGTCCACTTCGGGGTGGGGCTCTGCCACCAGCATCTCCTGAGGTGGGACGGTCACCAGCAGGTTGAGACGGGGCAGGTGAAAGCGTTCCTGCTGGCCACGAAGAACGAGAGAGGAGTGAAGCTGGAGGACGACTCCTCCGACGTGGAGAAGTTCGCTTGCTCCGCTCGACATGGCAGCACCAAGAAGGGTGTTGGAGACTACACCCAGCAGGAGGTCTTCCGACTGAGGAAGATCCTTCTCAAGATCAACAGGGAAGGGGGGAGCAATGCCGGGACTGAGTGAGGGGTCCGTCCGGCTGAGGAGGATCCTGAGCGGGGGTGGGGCCCACTGACGGAGAAGGGGATGCTGGAGGAGAACGGCGGAGTCCAGATCGACTGATTGATTATACTATATATATTTTATATTATATACCATCTATATTGTCTACTTATTGATATTTTTTAATGTAAAATAAAGGTTTTCTAAAAATCTCTCTCGTTCCTGTACTCCACCTACCACCAGTGTCAAGCCACGGGATTTACACTGTGACCTGCCTGCCTTCAGTGTTGAGCCACAGGACCGTGTTTTTAAAAGACTAACAAATTGTAGCACTTAAATTGTACTTAAATTGGCTTATTTGAGGAAATAGCACTTTCTTGTTTCTTGTTCTTCTGAGTTTGTGTCCTTATGGTTGAAATGCACTTATTGTAAGTCGCTTTGAATAAACACGTCAGCTAAATGACATTTTAATATAATATAATGTAATGTAATTCTCCTTTAATAACTAGAAATATTCAAATATCTACTTCATTTTTTTAAGGTAGAACCTGAGAAGTTCAGGAGTAGAATCAGTTGTCTGGTGATCAAACGTGGATTCAGCGGTACCTTGTCTTATTTCAGCTGTTACACGCTTTCATATATAAGAAATGTTCTTTGACATTCCGTCACGTTCAAAACTAAATCCAATTAGAGACGCCCACAGTGTGAACACGCAGAGACACACACACGTTTTTGTGTGTGTTTAGAATTGTATATGTGTGTGAGTGTGCATATGTTTACTTTCACATGTACGTGTGTGTGCATTTTTGTGTGTGTGTGTGTGTGTGTGTGTGTATGTGCGTACATGGGCGTGTGTGTCATTGGTGGAAACTAGGGTTACTACAGCCAAACAAGATTGTTTTATTCAGCTCACAATCTTTAGCATCTCCTAACACTACTGCACACACACACAAACTCACTCACAAACTCACTCACACACACACACACACACACTCTTACAAACACATACACGCATAGTCAGACACGCACATCAATCACGATCAGGGTTTGTTTGGAATTCAAATACTAATGCCAAATATAACTGTTGGGATGTAGAGCAAACCGGTGTAGAGCAGATTATGTAGAGCTAGACTAAAAACAATAATACATTGTAGCACTTAAATTGTATGTACAATATCTTATCTATAGCAAGTGAAAGTCTGATGCCATCAAACTTTCACAACTCTAGCTAAACTAAGTTGATTGTGTTGTGATATTCGTTCAATCGTTCAAGTTGTTTAGACGTTGTTTAGCGTCAACATTAGTTCTACTCGCATTAGCTACATTAGCTTGGCAGCTAGCCTAGCGATGTCTTCCCTCCCTACCTCTCCTGCTCTTTCATGTTCGGTGTGTCACATCTTTAGCTATTGCCAGTGACGTGCGGTGATGTCAGTAAAAGGGTAGGCACTGAGTTATGAAAGTCAGTTACCTGATTTGTTTTTTAGGCTCGTAGAATTGGTAAACGTTACACACAAGCGCGGCACATAGACAGATCCTCTCCAGGTTACCCGGTAGGTGGGGCCATCGAGGTAGGACGAGAGAAGGGAGAGAGCAGAGCCTGTGACACCAAGTTCCTGAAGGGAGGAAATAAGGATCTGGTGGTTGACTGTGTCAAATGCAGCAGAGACGTCCAGAAGGATGAGGACAGAGAAGAGAGAGGAGCTCTAGCAGTGTGGAGTTGCTCTGAGACAGCAAGGAGAGCAGTCTCTGTGGATCGGCCTTGAAACCTGACTGGTGGAGGTCAAAGAGGTTGTTACGGTGGAGATAGGAGGAGAGTTGGTTAAAGATCACACGTTCAAGAGTTTTGGACAAAAAGGGAAGAAGAGAGACCGGTCTGTAGTTGTTTTCTTCAGAAGGGTTGAGGGTGGGTTTCTTCAGGAGAGGGTTGACTCTTCTCCTTCAGAGAAAACATCCAGATAACAGAGCATTGTTGATGAGACAGGTGAGGAACGGAAGAAGGTCAGGTGCGATAGATTGTAGAAGATGTGATGGAATGGGGTCAAGAGGGAAGGTGGTCGGACGGGCAGAGGTTACTAGGGTAAGAATTTGGTTAGGAGACAGGGGGGTGAAAGAGGAAAGTGAGGGCGAAAGAGGTGAGGTCGGTGCGACGCGAGAAGTAGGAGGTGGGTTTGAGAAAGAGGAGCGGATGTCAGCTATTTTCTTGGTAAAGTAGTTGACAAAGTCTCCTGGAAGAAGGGTAGAGGAGGACTAGGGGGTTCGAGGAGGTTGGAGAAGATAGAAAATAGTTTTTTGGGGTCAGAAAATGAAGATTGGATTCTGGATTGGTAGAAAGAGCTTTTGGCAGCAGAGACAGAAGCAGAAAAAGAGGAGAGAAGAGATTGTAACGCAAGCAGGTCATCAGGTTGTTTATATTTACGCCATCTCCTTTCCGATGCTCGCATGGCGGCTCTCGTTGCATCGGTTCAGGTGCCAGGGGATTTGCCGGAGGGGATTTGCCAGTCCGTCAGGTCGTCAGAGGACTCTGGAGAGGAGGACAGAGTCTGCAGCAGCGTTCGGATGCAAGAGTGAGAAGGAGTCAGTGGAAGGGAGAGCTGATAGAACAGAGGAGGAGAGAGGAGGAGAGAGGGAGCGAACAGGTACAGAGTCAGTTAGTTACAGAGAGTAAGGGATGAAGAAGTGGTCAGACACATGAAGTGGAGTTACAGAGAGGTTAGTGGTGGAGCAGTTTCTAGTGAAGATGTAGTCAAGGTGATTGCCGGCTTTGTGAGTAGGAGGAGAGGGACTGAGTGACAGAGCGAAAGAAGAAAGTAGTTGTAAGAGGTCAGATGACTTCTCTGTCTGGATGTTGAAGTCACCCAGGAGGATGAGCGGAGGGACATTTTCAGGGTAATTGGACAGGAGAATGTCCAGTTCTTCCAAGAAGTGAGCCAAGGAGCCTGATGGACGGTAAAGGACAACAATATTTAATTGTATCGGGTGAATAACTTACAGCATGGAATTCAAAAGACAGTGGGGTGGATGGTGGAAGAGGGTAGAGAGAAAAGCCCCATTTGGGTGAGATGAGTAGACCTGTGACACCACCCCTACGAGTGCGTCTGGGTGTGTGGCTGAAGCAGAAGGCGGAGGAGAGAGCGGCTTCATCATAACAAAACCAAGTTGTTAACCCTGTCGATGTATAAATATATCTGTGTTGCTCTCAAACAAAGAAGCCTGCCACTGGATAGTCCATATATAGCTGTTGCAGACCTCTTCTTCCTTGCAAGAAATAAACGGAAAATAACATTGATTCACAACACTTTATACCGATTGCATGAGAAACTCTTCCATAACAATCTGCTCGCCAGTGCACTTTATTTTTAACTTATTTATTTATAGCCTTCTGTTTTATACTGTAGCGTTAAATTGCTGTAATTTGTCTTGTTGTCCATTGTCTCATTGTCTTACTGTCCAATGTTATGCATCAACCGGCATGTCAAATTCCTTGTATGTCTAACATGTTTTGGCAGTAAATGGTCCTGATTCCTGAAAAATGGGCAGAGAACATCATAGAGTCGGAAAGTCAATAGAACTCTACAAAGAGAGAATCATTCATCTGTTTTTAACAAGAGTTTTACAGACATGATACTGCCCCTTTGTTGCAGGCGGTAGGTAAGATCTTTGCTACCAAAAATAGAAAACTTGCAAGAGTGAAATAATTAATAACTTAATAATAAGCCGTCCCGGTGTGCCTTCTCTGCTCAAAGACAAGATCCTGTCCAAAGCGCTGGGAAACAGAGAGAAGTGATGGACCTGGTTATCGACCAAGACCAGACCTATTGCTGCTAGGAGCATTTTGACTAGGTTGAACACCTCTGTAAGACTTGAGAGTTTTGGACCAGGTCTCATAGCTATGATTAAGGTTTTGTACCGGGACATTAAGTGTACTGAAGATGAATGGAGGGCCCTATTTAGAGCAGTGATTCTTAACCATAGGGTAGTGCCCCCTAGAGGGCCACGAAAAACATTCTATTTGTACCTGCAGCTCCAATACGCAGAAAAAAGACTGCAGCTATCTATGTCTGTAAGGGAAAGACATGGAAAAGTATTTTAAAAGAAAGAATTGGTGCCGCACCACAAAGATCTGTAAACTGCCCTCTATGCCCTCTTATATGCAGACTTTGTCAGCAGCAACGGTTAACTGGGCAAAGCAACTGCAGTGGCAGTTTGTCCTGTATGGTGTGTGTGTGTGTGTGTGTGTGTGTACATTTGTGTGTTGTGGTGTGTTTATACGTGTGTCAGAGCTCAGACGGACAATTACCTTCACAAAGGCATGACGGACAGGGAGAGGGGCTTTGATTGAGTTTCTCCTGTCTCCTGTGAGACACCACATGTCTCCGAGAGAAACCTCAGCCCTGAGGACACCTTTTAAGCAGACACCACCTTCCTATGCTTGGACAGCTCTGAGCAGAGCCTTGTTCTTAATGAACAGAGGAATGTTACGTGACTCTGAGAGGCAGTACGAGTACGAGCGCCACTCGCCACCACTTTGCATGCCTTCTCCACAAAGATCGCCAACTACGTGGCGAACTTTAAGCTGCTGTGACCCACCGACATGGAAAAATACTAACAATTCACTTCACACTCCTTCAACAGTGTGACATACAGACAGATCTGTACTTTTATAAATGTAAGTCATATAGAGATATGTGTTAGCAGCTGATGTTTGTGGTGAGTTCCGGAGCCGAGTGAGGCACTGGGGGTGGACATCTTTGTTAGCATTCAGCCTGTGACCCCCCCCCCAACTTCTACGACGGAGAGGAATGAGATGTCTGCGTGTGAGGGGTCAACACCCGCCAGCATCAATCACAGTTCTCCAGCTGAACACTCACATACACCACAAGGTTCTATAAGAACCTCGGGGTTCTACAAGAAAATCTACACGGTTCTATAAGAACCGCAGGATTCTATATTAAAAACCACAGGGTTCTATAAGACAGAAATAATGACAATTATAAAGATAACATCCATGTTGTTTGTTACTGAAAGAGAGGAAATAGAGGATCCTTGTTGACACACTGTCTCCTTGTCTCCTCCCTCTTGTTGTTTGTTCTCCTCACCCTAATGTCCCGGAAGGAAGATCTTGCCCATGTTTGAAATGTTGAATAACCTCCAACATGTTCACATGTGTGCTCATGTATTTTTGAGAAGCTCTTGGGAAAGCCTGTTAGAAGGAAAAGCAGGGGGAAGCTTGTGTCCTCAGATCCTTCTATCCTCAACTCCTCTTGTCTCCTCGTTCCCTAAGGTTTTCAGATTGTCGTTTCCTTGTTCCCTTGACTCATCTTTTCCTTGTTTCCTTTTCTTCAGGAAACATGGATAGAGCTTAACTCAGGAGTCACAAACATTCAAGTAAACACACACACAGATGTTTGGTAGACACAATAACTATACCTGTCACTTTGCCCCACTTGAGTCTCTGAAGCGTGACATAGTGAGCCGACTGGCGCAGCCACAGCTCCCCCTAGTGGCCACCTGCAGATCTGCAGCTTCACTTTATAATCATTCAAGCAAAACTCTATTTATTTAACTTCTTCTCAATGTACTTATCTGTATGTTATTAGAATTGTTTAAAAAAAGGGTTGCTTCATCACATCTTTGATGTACAGAAAGCAAGTAGTAGTATAACTAGTAGCACCCTGGTTAGAAGTAGTACTAGTAGCAGACATCAGGACATGAATACATCAAGACTTAAGGCCGTCGCGTGTTTCTGCGTCTTTACGTGTCGACGCACTGGTTTCACTTCCTGGTTGTAAAGTCCTGCGTGTGTTGCAGAGCGATTCACCTCCAGAACAACAGGTGGAGTCACGTGTTTTGTTGAAGACGACCTAGAGAGTCACGTCTTTGTGTGTGGAAGTCGTTGATTGCTTTATTTATTATAGACAACAGTGAACAAGGAATAAAATCTAAATATAAGGCTATGGGTTAGTTTAAAAATAAATGACGGCTTGTACAAGCGCTCATATTTAAAAGCTCTTCAATCTGATCCGTTCTCTCGTAAACATTCTTCCTTTTAATAACGGCCGTATTGTGCTGTGAAAACGGAGACGTGAGACTCCGTAAAGGACGTAGTCAGCAGACCAATCACAGCCTGGTGCTGCAGGACGCTGCGTCGCTTTAGACGCTAGTCTAGAAAAATGGGTCGACGCACGCAAGGAGGCGTGAAAAGACACACAAGGGACACACAAGGGACACGCAAGGGGCTCTTGCAACTTTGGCAACTCCGTGTTAACGTCCACTTTGACTGCAGGAACCTCGCGTGACATCGAGAGCAGACTCTCCCTGACTCCAACATCACTGACAACACCATCCTGTAGATACTCGCTCTACAACATGAGGAGAACACGTCCTCTTCTCACTCAGAAGGAGGTACTGATTCAGGCTCTTGTCATCTCACGCTTGTTTGATAAAATTGCACTTTCTTGTTTCTTGCTCTTCTGAGTTTGTATCCTTATGGTCGCTTTGGATAAAATCCATCCATACATCCATCTTCAACCGCTTATCCGGGGTCGGGTCGCGGGGGCAACAGCTCCAGCAGGGGACCCCAAACTTCCCTTACCCACATCTACCAGCTCTGACTGGGGGATCCAAGGCGTTCCCAGGCCAGAGCAGAGATATAATCTCTCCACCTGGTCCTGGGTCTTCCCCGGGGCCTCTTCCCAGCTGGCCGTGCCTGGAACACCTCCCTAGGGAGGCGCCCAGGGGGCATCCTCACCAGATGCCCAAACCACCTCAACTGGCTCCTTTGACGCAAAGGAGCAGCGGCTCTACTCCGAGCTCCTCGCGAAGGGCTGAGCTTCTCACCCTCTTTGGATAAAAGCGTCAGCTAAATGACACGTGATGTGATGGGACGTTAACAAACAAAATGGCTCCAACAGGGTCCAAGTCGAAAGATTTGAGTCTTTTATTAAGCACATTTTGATGCCATATACATATACAAGCAACTAATCAATGGAGAATAAAACCGGAATAATAATTGTGGCAAAACCAGTAAACTTATTAAAAGGTATGAAGTCTAATGTTGATATTTCATGTCTTTTTAGATGACTTTTAAAAACTCTATTAATACCTTCTTGGTGTATCATCTCTCACTACAGCAAAGTACACATGAAGCCCTCATATTGTTTATGGACCGACATTTGGACTTGTGAGTTGCGTTCATCAAGAGAACCATGAAGAATGACACCCTCTGAGGAGAAACCCCTTCTCTCCCCTCACAGTTTGTGTGGAGGGACGCCTCCTTTCAGGTTTAGCCAACTCCAGTCAGTCTCAACCGACTCATTAGTCCAGCAGGCTGAGTAACGAGGGAGACAAGTGGGATCTATCAGTCTGTTCTCCTCTGGTGGAGCATATCTAGACCCGCTGTCCTCTGGAGGAGCATATCTAGACCCGCTGACCTCTGGAGGAGCATATCTAGACCCGCGGCCCTCTGGAGGAGCATATCTAGACCCGCGGCCCTCTGGAGGAGCATATCTAGACCCGCGGCCCTCTGGAGGAGCATATCTAGAACCGCTGACCTCTGGAGGAGCATATCTAGACCCGCTGTCCTCTGGAGGAGCATATCTAGACCCGCGGTCCTCTGGAGGAGCATATCTAGACCCGCGGTCCTCTGGAGGAGCATATCTAGACCCGCGGTCCTCTGGAGGAGCATATCTAGACCCGCGGTCCTCTGGAGGAGCATATCTAGACCCGCTGTCCTCTGGAGGAGCATATCTAGACCCGCGGCTCTCTGGAGGAGCATATCTAGACCCGCGGCCCTCTGGAGGGAGCATATCTAGACCCGCAGTCCTATGGAAGAGCATATCCAGGACCGCTATCCTCTGGAGGAGCATATCTAGACCTGCTGACCTCTGCAGAGCATTCCTGGACCTGCTGTCCAGTGGCGAAGCATATTTTAACCTCCTCGGATCTGGATGAGCATTCCTGGACCTGCTGTCTCCTGGAGGACCATATCTTGCCCTCCTGTGATCTGGATGAGCATACCTGGACCTACTCCCCTCTGAGCAAGGGGGACTCCTCCACTGACTGTCAGCATGAGAGGTCCTCCATTGATAGGAGGGGGGAGGGGCTCCCATAGATGGACTGGGAAAGTTTAGATGGTGTTTGTGTGACCGCTGGCTTGCTCCTCTTGGAGGGAAAGGTCTGCTGGAAGACAAGCGCAGAGAAATATATCAAAGATAGATGTCAAGATGTTAGAAGCATGTTGCCCGTTCTGCTAACTACCTGTGGTCTTTTAAGGGCGGTGCAGAAAGGCGGCGTTGTGAAGCGAGACCTCTCATTGGCTCTTGCTCCGCCTCCTGCATCCCCTCATTGCTGTTAGAGACTGATCTGTTAATAACGAAGTCTCAAACCCCACATAACCATAAAAAAGAACAGCGGTATGTTGAAGACGATCACCTTCTCTTTGGGCCACGTAATAGGTCGTCCAAATAGTTCTGTCTTTCCATAGCATGTCCACGGGAGGAGTTGAATACTGAGAACAGAAAAACATCTGAGAAGCTCTCCTTTCAGAAACCATACATGGAAATAAGACTAGAAGAAGGGGACTCACACGCTACTGCCTCTTTAGGATCCATCCCATCAACATCTATCAGGTACCTGCACATAGGACACAGCTGCTACACATGTTCACTGTCCAGGTCAAAGGTCGCGTGTGTGCTACTCACCTGCAGATCAGGTAGCCAGTACGGTTCAGACCGTGAGTACAGTGGACTCCAATCAGCATGTCTGAAACAGAAAGGAGGGGAAACTGTCATGATGACGGCAAAGCTTCTTACATGTTTCTCTCTCTGCGTCACAAGTTATTAACAGGTAATAATCTTTGCTCTTCTGAGTTTGTGTCCTCGTGGTTGAATGCACTTGTAAGTCGCTTTGGATAAAAGCGTCAGCTAAATGACGTGTGACGTTGCATGTGATTGGATCTTGTGTTGCGGCGAGAGGACCTGCTCCTCAACGCCAGTTTAGGGCCAAAGGAAATCTTTCCTTTTATATCTAACAAGAAATATAAAACATGATGTCATGATGAACATGATGTCAGTCAGCTGTTTTTCAGGCCTGCGGCCGACAGAACTAGCGTATTCTCCGCACTATCAAGCGCACCGGATTATAAGGCGCATAAGATACTGCAGTCAAACGGTTGACGCCGGGGCGGGTGGATGTGGGGAGGTGGAGACGGTGCCTTCAGGGTCCGATCGATGCTGCGAGGTTCACAGCACAATACGGCCGTTATTAAAAGGAAGAATGTTTACGAGAGAACGGATCAGATTGAAGAGCTTTTAAATATGTGCGCTTGTACAAGCCGTCATTGGCGGACTATGAGGACGCCGGATGGCCTCTGATTCATGGAGGGAGATCTCCACAAACGAGGGGACAAAGTCGTGGAGGAAAATACGGGACAAATGTGCCCTTGATGAAAAGCAGCAGTGTGGATGCACGGGGCAATAAAGTCTATGATCAATAAATAAAGCAACCAGCGACTTCCACACACAAAGACGTGACTCTCCAGGTCGTCTTCAACAAAACACGTTACTCCACCTGTTGTTCTGGAGGTGAATCGCTCCGCAACACACGCACGACTTTACAACCAGGAAGTGAAACCAGTGCGTCGACACGTAAAGACGCAGAAACACGCGGCTGCTTTTAGAATAACTTATTTCCCCGTTAAGATGGTTCAGCTACTGTAGAGAAAAGGGCACGTCTCTCGCTCCGCCTGAGCGGCGCTCAGCATCTTGTCGTCGTAGACCGATCTACCACAACGAGAGAAGTTGTTTGGCTGAATTCTTCCAGATCCGGAACAGAGCTTCTTTCTCTCACAGGTTATTCAAATCTTAAGTTACTAACATCTTAGTGACATATCAGTAACAAGTTTGTAATGAGTAATAACTTATTTGCCCTATAATAAGTTAGTCTCAACTTGATATAATTTTAGTTGGTTGCTACTAAAACAAACGTGTTTAAAATGTTATCAACTTAGAAACTTGCTTCTAAGAAGTTAATAACGTATTTCAAAAATGTAACAAGTTGGAGACACATTAGTAACTTGTAACTAACTTATTAGTATAATGCTATTAGCTTGGTAAGAAGTTACTAACTGGTCCTGAACCAGTTGCACTGGGAGGAACGCCGGCCTCAGAAGCTCCGCCCCTCACCGTTGTCTGCGTGGTCTCGTAGAAACGCGCCGACGGCTCGTTTAAAGCTCAGGATAGTTTTGTTGCTGGGAACCTCGTGACCGGCAGTGAAGATCTTCATGACGAGCAAAGAGTCTGGGACGTCCTGTGGACAGAACAGAGAGCTGGAGTCTTCCTCCCTTGGAGGTGAGGCAGTAGATCGCTGGTCCTACCTGCAGGCTGTAGTAGCGCGTCGTGAACGTCAGGTCGATGATCAGACCAAGCTCCTGATCTTCCCTCTTCAGAGTGTCTAGCAGCTCCCACAGGCCAAAAACATCAGAAGACGGAAGCTGTTGGTTCAGAGACTGAAGGAGCAGGAACAGGCGTTAGTGAGCGGACGCTTGCTCCACCAACACTACATGAAGACCTCGGACTTCTGACCTGCTTCAGAGGAACTTTGAAGGCGATGAAACGCGTCCCGTTCAGTCTTTTTCCAACTGCTGAGTAATCCAGCCATCTGTAGAGAAGAAACAGCTTTTACTGTGAAAACAATCCTCATCCGCTTCCTGTCCACTGAAGACCACGGATCTTCATGTGTTGGTTCTTTGTAGAAAAATCTATCGACGAAGATCTCATAGAAGATGAAGCATTTACAAAGATTAAATGAGATATAAAGAAGCTAACATGCAAATTAAACATGAATCCAGGAACATCACATAGAAAATGTTTAACTGATCAATCATTCTGTTTACTGATACTTGCACTACAGGGAGGTTATAAATGCACAACTGATACAGAGGGTGAACCTGTTGCCTTGTATATATCAGCATGGGGAAGACAGCGGATTTAATGTGGATGCTTGTTGGTGCAGACCACAAACTGCTGATCTACTGGGATCTAAACTCACAACCAAACCTCTAAGGTCCAGAGGAGGGTCCCAAAAAGAGAAAATATCCAGTGAGCGGCAGCTGTAGGGACGAAAAAGCCTTGTAGATGTGTGAGGTCAGACTGGTTCCAGATGATAGAACGGCAACAGGAACCCAAGCCCTGACCAACCCTAAGGAACCCTAACCAACCCTGACCAACCCTAAGGAACCCTAACCAACCCTGACCAACCCTAAGAAACTCCCTAAGGAACCCTAACCAACCCTAAGGAACCCTCGCACTCGATACAACACGGGGAACCTGCAGCAGCAGAAGCATCTGAAGAAGAACGGGCTCCGACCTTCTACCAGCAGGTGGACTTGATAAAGTATACATGAAGATAAAGTATACATGAAGATAACGTTTACATGAAGTGTACGCGCATTACAGATTAGAAACCCACCTCAGCGGGACCCCGTGGCGCGGCATGTCCAGCTTCTTTCTCCTTTGAATCAAACTACAAATGTGACGTTAAACGACACATGGAAGTTACGCGTGTGCAGCTGCCACATTTGTAATAATGTACTACGTTATAATACCTCATACTACATACAATACTACATACAAGTTATACCTACGGTAGACAAAGTAAAAGGAGTATCTGATCAATCAAACGTGCGATCTCCGAATAAGCGCCTCCATTTCACGCGTCCAGCCTCCCGATGGACACAGACAGGAGTCGCGCGTTGATGACGTGTGCAAACGGAGCCTTCGCTGAGGGCCATAGCGTTAACCTGGGTTAACCCGGGTTAACCCGATAGTCAAAAAGATACCTCCTAACGTGTATTCCGAACCACGTTGTCTGGACCTTTGTCCAAAACGTCACAAGGTCAAAGAAACTCTGTTAGAATTCATTAGGGTTTGGAAAAGAAACCCGCATTGTTTAGGCTGGATTCAAATAGTCTTCTTCCTTAACTGAGGGAAATGACGTGAAGTGCAGGTGGCCGCCATGATGTCAGCTGTGGAATGTTGTTGGAATCACTGTTAATTTTGGCAGCTATTTTTGATTTAATCTTAGTCTTTAGACGAAAAATACATGTTAGTTTTAGTCACATTTAGTCATTTTAATCCTTTTTAGTTTTAGTCTAGTTTTCGTCGACGAAAACTCAAAACATTTTAGTCTAGTATTAGTCGACGAAAACTAGACTATAATGTAATTGGTTTTAGTCCCATTTAATATCCATATTAAACTCCTTTTCTTCCCTTCTCAGGCCCAGGGACCCTGTGTTGCGTCTACAGCTGCATAGTAGTCCAGCTTGCAGTACTTGGTTGTCCATTAGATGTCCCTCCTAGGACAGGTCTATAGATGTCCCTCCTATGACAGGTCTATAGATGTCCCTCATAGGACAGGTCTATAGATGTCCCTCCTAGGACAGGCCTATAGATGTCCCTCATAGGACAGGTCTATAGATGTCCCTCCTATGACAGGTCTATAGATGTCCCTCATAGGACAGGTCTATAGATGTCCCTCCTAGGACAGGCCTATAGATGTCCCTCATAGGACAGGTCTATAGCAGGTCGGCAAACTTTCTGACTCGCGGCCACAATGGGTTGTAAAATGTGACGGAGGAGTCGGGCCAAGAACAGATGGTGGAAGTGTTTGTGTGAGCTGATATAAATGACGTGTGAAACATCATTACATGAAAGGATTTGGATTTTAACAAATAGCAAAGCATTTATTTGCAAGGCAATTTAACAAATTGGCAAAGGTGTAACAACTTCATGAGGACCAGGGACCTAAACACTTTGTTGTCTTTGTCTAACCCATTGCATTAGCATTTCATTCCACTTTATTTTATTACTTTACACTGTTGTCTTGTCTGTCTACTGTCGCGCACTAACCGCCAAGACAAATTCCTTGTATGTTTGACATATTTTGGCTAATAAATGTTTCCTGATTCCTGATTCCTGATTTACTTGCAATGCTTTTGACACTTCATGGTCCTTTATTGTTTCCACTGTCCCAACTAAAGAGACCTTAACGTCCTACAATCGCTGCAATACATTATTTTCTTGGCTGCATCATAAAGCAGCCGTTCTAAACTGGACCCCACTTTTCATTCAAGTCTTTGTCTCTTTATTTGTTGGTTTCATGACCAGTTCTTCTCTCTTGTGTCCTGCGGGTTTTCCTCCACCTGCTCTGCGCACTTCTATCAAAAGGATCCACCTGTGACGTGTGCGCGCCTCTGCGTTGCTTAGTAACGAGCGTACGGTGGCCGAGACGGTTTAACCGCGTGAACTATAGTTGAAGTGCGTGAGGCTTCAGAACCTGCAATGACTTTATTGCGTTAGACTGTTAAACGGGTCTTCATGTTTCTGTGAAGCAGCGCGGCTTCAGCCCGCTAACAGGCAGCTAACCAGAGACAGCCGCGCTAAACTAACGAAGCCACGTTCAAACTCGCCGAAGCGTAAAATAGTCGTCGCGGTCCGTAGTCGGTGCACAAGAAGCACCGCTGCACCGATGCCTGCTGGGTTCGTGGATGACGTCATCATGACGCGTTAATATCCGCCGTACTTTGTTGTCTGTTGTCTGTCAGCTGCGTGCGAATTTAGGGGGGAAAGTATCGTGACTTCGTCAACCACCAACATGTTCGTCTCGTCTCGTTAACGAAAGTTAGAATAGATTTAGTCATAGTTTTTATTTTTTAAGATCGTTTTCGTCACGTCTTAGTCGAGGAAAAAAAGGTCGTTAACGAAAAATGTTCGTCATAGTTTTCGTCGACGAAGTTAACACTGGTTGGAATTCATTCAATTCTTTAGGAACTACTGGATCATCCTTTACGAAAGGCAAGGAGATTAAATTACATTACTTACAATAAGTACATTCAACCATAAGGAAACAAACTCAGAAGAACAAGAAACAAGAAAGTGCAATTTCATCAAATAAGCCGATGTACAACTTGCTGTAGATAAGAACCATTATAAGTCCAATGTAAGTGCTACAGTTAGTGTGTTAGTGGAGGTAGAGTCTGAAGAGGTGTGTCTTTAGTCTGAAGATGTGAAGGCTCTCTGTGGTCCTGATGTCTTCAGAGACCTCCTTCCACCATTTAGGAGCAGGACAGCAAAGAGTGGAGATCTAGTCGAGTGTTTTGCTCTCAGTGAGGAGGAACAAGCAGTTTATCACATGCAGAGCGGAGAGTGCGGGTCTGGTTGGACCAGGTCCTGGATGGAAGCTGGACCCCATCCATTCACAGCATGGTACGTGAGCACCATGTTTAGAACTGGATGAGCCACCGGTACCAGTGAAGAGAGCGGAGGAGCGGAGGAGTGAGGGAGAACTTAGGAAGGTTAAAGACCAGTGGAGCTGCTGCATTCTGGATGAGCTGCAGAGGCTGAATGGTGGTAGCAGGAGACCTGCAGGAGACAGTTACAGGAGTCCAGGAGGGAGACGACAAGAGCCTGAATCAGTACCTTCTGAGTGAGAAGAGGACGTGTTCTCCTGATGTTGTAGAGCGAGTATCTACAGGATGGTGTTGTCAGTGATGTTGGAGTCAGGGAGAGTCGGCTCTCGATGTCACGCCGAGGTTCCTGCAGTCAAAGTGGACGTTAACACGGAGTCTCAAAGTTAACCGTCAGGTCCTGTGAAGGAGAATCTTCTCACATAAGGAGAAGTAGTTCAGTCTGTCAGGGTTGATTTTCAGATGGTGAGCGGATCCACTGAGAGACGTCAGAGGTTACTAAGGTGAGAACTTGGTTAGGAGACGGGGGGTGAAAGAGGGAAGCGAGGGCGATAGAGGTGAAGTTGGTGAGATAATTCCGTCCCACAATTCCTTGCGGTGACGATTTATTCTCACCATTTGTAACGTTATCATTTAGAGAGTGATATTTCAGGTTCATAACTTTGATCCATTTCTGTTCATAATATGAAACTAGGTATGAAGGTTTATAGTTGAGGCATTAAAGTAAACTTTTCACTAACAACTACGGGTGGATGCAGGCCGACAAGTGTGTATATATATATATATATATATGTATATATATATATATATACACACACACACTTTAGATGAGATAAAGTGGTTAAAAGTTACACAACAGTTACTGTGAGGCACTTATGGGGGAAAAAAATGATGAAACCTTTTCCATGGTCAGTGGACGAGCATTGAGTCACCTGCAAGAGCAAACGCACCTGAGACTAACACACCTGAGACCATCGGTGCCCAATAGGTCGATCGTGACTGAGGCAGTTCTGGTAGATCGCCTGCCATTGTAAAAATTCAATCGCTTGCGCGGTCGACCACGGGAGCTGATAGAAAACTAATCACCATGACTTGGTCGGTTTAAAAGTAGCTTGCGAGCCGTAAAAGTGTGAGCACCCCTGCCTTAGAATAACACACCTGCAGATAACGTCTGAGATGAACGCACCTGATGAAAGGCACGCGGAGACGTTGCACAATGTCTTTTCCCGGCTCATGCAGAAGATAACCCAGGTTACATAACGCTTGTGATCCTTCCTGTTGTAACTGCCAGAGGAGGTCCTTATATGGTCGTTCAGGTGTGACTGCAGGTTTACAGCCTGACCGACATAACAGACAGAACTTTACCCCCTCGGTGTAAAGAGCAAGAACGGAGAAAGAAGCAGAAAAAGGAAAAGGGAGGACTGATGGATCACAGGAGGGACACCAACAGGGCCGTGCTGGTCTCTGTGGAGCAGTTTGATCCAGGCGTGGTTCTGAGAAGGAGACCCGGAGCCAGCAAGGACGCCAAGAAACTTCACCGCACCCTCAGCCAGCTGGGCTTCAAGGTGGAGATCCACAGCGACCTGAGCGCGGAGGAGATCTACCAGCTGTTCCTCCAAGGTGAGACCAGGATACGTATGGAGCTGTGAGCTCAGCAGAGAGACACAGGAAAAGACAGACAACACGATTATTGTGAAAAACAAACCAATAAAACAGCAGCGAGTGCTGAAACGTGACTCAGTTTCTACTGCATATTCTCACCTCAGTACTTACCTGAGATATCTGTGTGCATACTTTCTGAGCATATTTGTGTGTCTCTTTTGCCGATTGTCTCTCTGATTGTGTGTCTGCGTTCGGCAGAGAGTATGCGGCCTGTGAAGAACTGCTTTCTGGCGGTTTTGTCCTCCCATGGAGACCAAGGCTGCATCTTTGGAGCAGACGGGAAAGCTGTCAAACTGTCTCGTATCTTCTCATATTTTGACAATGAATGTATGAAGAAAAAGGCCAAAGTGTTCCTCATCCAGGTAGGAGTGTTTCCTGACTCCCACATACACACACAGACTGACCATGGTGATGAAGATGGGGGTTGGGGGGACTGACAACTGGTTGTGGTCTCTGCAGGCGTGTCGGGGAACTGGTCTGGATGATGGTGTCGAGGTGGATTCAGCTAATGACACCAGAGAGTGTAGCGTGTCCCAGTACCTCTCTGTTCCCATGGACACAGCTGTGATGTACGCAACACCGCCAGGTAAACACCAGAGAGAACGTCTTTATCTGGAGCTGTGACGTAGACCAGCTACACTGGTGAGATGGTCTCTATCTAGAACAGGATTGGTGTGTTAACGTTCCAGCTTTAACCCAGGTACCCTTCTGTCGTCTCCTCAGGATACGGAGCCTTTATGCACCCTCTAGGGTCGGTCTTCCTCCAGACATTCTGCACTTTACTAAGACAGGGCGACAACCGCAACCTGGAGCTAACCCGCCTGATGACCCGCCTCTCCCACATGGTGGCCTACAGCTTCCAGGCCAGAGGTGGTGCACTGGGGGGGAAGAAGGAGATGCCTTGCTTCCTGACCCGACTGACCAGAGAAGTGTTCCCCTTCGCTGAGTCGGGTGTGGACCCATCTGCAATGTCCCCGTGTCAACGTGGACTCCTGAGTTAGACTGCAAGGAGCTGATGGAACGATGAGATATGCTGCACATGTTGTGCAGATGTCAGATATTTATATAAATACATAATATTTATATGTACCTGTGTTTATGAAAAGAATTGTCATTGTCATTTAATAAACACTCAAAAAGACACTGCTCTACTTTTGTCACCATGTTCTTCTCGTTGTTGCTAGCGAAGATTTGGACAGTGGACAATAATACTAATATATATATAAATATCTCAGGTTAGTCTCCAACCTTTGATTAGTTTAGTGTCCACTGACAGAGCGAAGCAGAGCTTTGATGAACTATTACAAGACCTCCAACACCATGTGATCATCATGCTGAGAAGGTTGTTTAATCTTTCTTTTAAAACTATTCTAGTTCCCTCTGGACCTCTTTTAAAATATAACACTTTCACAACTTCAAGTCCGTTGATCATCGTCCAGGTTGAATTTAATTGATGCTTCAGTGCAGCATCACCTCCTTCCTTTCCCTTCCCAAGGTGGTCTAGAAACCCCTCCACATGAGACCCAGACCGTCACCATCACAGAGGCACGACTCAGTGAATATTTATTAACAGGAGGAACCAGAAAATAGATTTACATTCAATACTAACAGGTAAAAAGCAGCTTTCAGCTGAAAACACAGTGCCTCACCTAACAAGTGGATTGTTCTTGGAATTAGAAAAAGTGAAAATAAGTTTGCAAGAAAATAGGGTTTCATAAAGTAAGAAACACAGCCAAATATTGACTAGCTATTTGTCCATTTCATAATAAAAAATGTTTCTATATACTTTAAAAGAAAGACTTTACAGCATTAAAAAAAGTTAGATTTGGAGATTCACAGGCGATTGGTTCTTCTGCAAGACTGACTTAAGGCACCGTGGGAGCGCTTGGTGAGCGGCGGTAGGAGGTGGGACGAGGAAAGGTGGAAGAGGGGGTGAACACCTGGAAGGAGCCTGTGGGGAGGAGGTGGGGGTGTCGCAGGAGGAGGTGGGGGTGGAGGTGCTGCGGCTCAGAGGATGGAGGGTCCGGTGAGGCTTGGTGGTGAGGGCCAGCGGCTGCAGCTGCTCGCCGTACGGTGACGCCTGTCCACTGTAGGAAGAGGAGTGCGTGTGCTCGGTGTGAGTCGGCGCCGGGGCAGCCGGCGAGGCCAGAGCGGTGGTGGGCGTCGCCGGGGAGTCCAGCGAGGAGGCGGGGCTGGCCTGGGACAGGTGTGTGTGCGTCAGGTGGGAGACGGTGTAGGGCTGCGTGTGTGTGTGTGCAGTCCGCGTTAGCAGAGAGTGTGTGTGAGGCGTCTCGTCACAAGCTCTCTTCAGCTCCGGGGGAAAGTCCTCTTCATCTGAGGAGCACGCAGGTGAAGGCTTAGACCCCAAACACAGAAAGGACATTTATGTGTTTATGTTTATTATATTGAAGCATCCTCTTACTTTCAAACAGAGTCTCACTCTTTGCCCTCTTCCTCTTCTTCTTTTTACCCTGCACACAAACCAGCATGTAAGCTCATTAAAGGTGTGATGCTGTAAACACGTTGCAGTGCTGTAAACATGTACTCACGTAGTTATCTCTGGCTGACCAGCCGGGGTAAAGTTTGGAGTGGACGAGTCGCTCTTTGCGAGCCAGTTCGTAATATTTGGTTTGTTCGTCTTTGGACAGAGAATGCCACTGCAGACGGGAAACATCTCACGGTCAGTATGGCAACAAGCACACTCACCCACCCACCTCACTCACCCACCCACTCACTCAGTCAGTCACCCACTCAGTCACCCACTCAGTCACCCACCCACTCAGTCAGTCACCCACTCAGTCACTCACCCACTCACTCACTCAGTCACTCACTCACTCACCCTCTGTCACCCACTCACTCAGTCACCCACCCAGTCACTCACTCACCCTCTGTCCCAGTATCTGATTGATGGTGGCGCTCTCTTTAACTTTGCATTGAGACACCACTTTGGGCCTCTCCTCTCTCATGTACAGCATGAAGGCGTTCAGCGGCTTCTTGATATGAGGCTTCTTCTCGTCTTTGTCCTGCAGGACGTCTGACGTGGATCTTCTACAGGAACATGTTACCGTGGTGTTAATGTATAAATATTCTATATTGTGATACATTGTGATATATGATGGGGTTGAGTAAAATGTTGATACCCGTTCTGATTGCTGCATCCAGGCTCTTGTTTCACCCTCGAGGGGACAAAGGGGGAGTGAGAAATGGTGGACTGGGGGGTTTGTAGACGTGGAGAGAAGTTACCGGACACCAGGCTACCAAACAAACACACGTCAAAGGTTAAAGTTTGCTCCTCCTCTTTAAAACAAAAGGTGAAATGTTCTTTCTTTAAGAACTCCACCTTAAGCCCCGCCCCCTGTGAAAATAAGGATGTGTGAATAAAACGAGAGTTACCTGGACATGGAGGCGTTCATAGCTAGAGCAGCTGGGGAGAAGCCTCCTGCCAGTGGGTACACAGCCTGTCCCTGTCTGCGTGGACCAGAGGACAGCGTGAAACACTCCATTAAAAGGTCCACAGTGACGGAGTCATGAGGAGTTACTTACAGCCATCCCAGAGGGTGAGGGACCTGAGCCATGCCTCCAGGAGACACCGGGTAGCAGGGGCTCCTCGACATACCTGCTCAGGTGAGTCAAACAGGTATCAGTGATGGCCATCAGGCCTCAGCTAGATGTGCTGGTGTGTTAGCGGAGACTCACCAGTGTCAGGGGAGAAGCCAGGTGAAGCCCTCTGGGGTGAGAAGGCCTCGGGGCTGTAGGACAGCAGTGGGTGGAGGTGGGTCATGTGAGGGTGCTGCACCATCGACACATTGTTAGACTGGAGACAAACACGGAGAACAATGGAGTCATCCACTCACCAGGGGTCTGCATCCCCCCCTTCAACCTAAATGTTTAGTGTGTCTCACCAGCTTGTGTTCATCTAACCAAGTGTGTGCGAGTGTCTCACCAGGTTTGCCGGAGCAGCAGAGTCCCTCATAGCTGCTCTTCCTGGGACGTCCAGCAGAGGCCACTGAAACGGGAGATACTGAGGAGACGGATGCTGTGATGAAGAGCTTTGATTGGTCAGAAGACAAGTTGATTCTAGTACAAGAGCATTTAGCTGCTACGTCCTCATACTTCATGTAGGGTGAGGTGCACGTCCATGTGTTTAAGAGGTTGTTGTTGCTAGATACATCATCCTTGTGTTATTTTAGGACTTGAGACAATGTAGAGTAAAAGGAGGTATTGTGGGATCGTTTAGCAGCTCAGTCAACATGCCGAGTGAAAACACCACTCAACCAGAGAGCATTCACTGGTGCTCAGGTGGGACATGTTGGCACTGCCGTCTCCACAAACGAGGGGACAAAGTCGTGGAGGAAAATACGGGACAAATGTGTCCGTGATGAAAAGCAGCAGTGTGGATGCACGGGGCAATAAAGTCTATGATCAATAAATAAAGCAACCAACGACTTCCACACACAAAGACGTGACTCTCTAGGTCGTCTTCAACAAAACACGTGACTCCACCTGTTGTTCTGGAGGTGAATCGCTCTGCAACACACGCACGACTTTACAACCGTGTTGGAGATCTCCCTCCATGAATCAGAGGCCATCCGGCGTCCTCATCGTCCGCCAATGACGGCTTGTACAAGCGCTCATATTTAAAAGCTCTTCAATCTGATCCGTTCTCTCGTAAACGTTCTTCCTTTTAATAACGGCCGTATTGTGCTGTGAAAACGGAGACGTGAGACTCCGTAAAGGACGTAGTCAGCAGACCAATCACAGCCTGGTGCTGCAGGACGCTGCGTCGCTTTAGACGCTAGTCTAGAAAAATGGGTCGACGCACAAAAGGAGGCGTGAAAAGACACGCAAGGGACACGCGACGCACACGCATGGAGGTCTTGCGTGTGCGTCGCTCTGAAAACGCAGAAGCATAAACTAGGCTTAAGTCTCTCACTGAGGAGGCTGACGAGGACACACGGCCCCATTGTGGGTAGAGAAATGTGAGGGAGGAGCTGAGAGACCTGTGTGTGTGTGTGTGTGGCCAGAGGCAGAGTGTTGGGTACAATGGGATGGAACCCCCCCATGAAGTTATGCATCAGCAGCATTCACACACTGCTAATGACAACAATGGGCCACTAACGAGGGGTAGTGGCGGGGGGGGGGTAGTCTAGCTTTACGTACAAACAGAAAAGGAAAAAGTCCCACATCTGAGCCACTTTTCCCATATTTACTAAAGATGTCAAAATTAACGTGTTAATCTATGAAATTAATGTGATGAATATTTTAACACAATTGATGCAGCTTTGTTCCCTCCCAGTGTGCGTTGACCCCTGACCTCTGAAGGGGCCGCGTGCTGCAGTCAGTTAGATGAAGAGAGCGAGACGCTGAAGATAGAGAACTTTTTGCATTGGAAGTAAAACAAACAGAAGAACTGTGCAGAGGAATTCCTCCACATGTCAAACAGAAGGGGGACGAGTGGCAAACAGACCACTTTAGGACTGCTAAGCTAAGCTAGCTGCTAGGCTACTTCCATCTCAACATCTACCTGCAGAGGACCAGCAGGGTGTCCCTCCTGGCTAAATGTGGGGACATTGTTGGCACGTCAAATGATGAAGAGTTGAGAGCAAAGTGCACGAGGACAACAAGAGTTCAACAAGAGTTCAACATGATGAATTTGCACTTTCTTGTTCCTCAGAGTTTGTGTCCTTATGGTTGAATGCACTTTTTTTAAGTCGCTTTGGATAAAAGCGTCGGCTAAATGACGTGCAACATAATCCACCATGTGGAATTGTGCCGTGAAGATGATCAAATGTGTGTAGTTTTGTGTTTAAAACAAACAATTATACAAACGTGTCAAAAATACACTTTCTGAAGTGATTACTCATTTCTTGTAAGATTTAGGCTTTAGAAGAAAAACAAACTTAAGCGCGATAAATGGATTTTAAAATGCGTGACTATGTCCTTAATTTTAAAAATATATTGACAGCCCTAATTATATTGTATGGAATGTACTACATTTGAATATCATTTATTAATGTAGGTTAATTGCTCTTGTTAATAGCAACTGCTATACTGCGTGACGTCATGAACACACACACATTAGCTATCAGCATCCTCACAGGGAGATGGACCCTGTCCCACTACTGCGTGACGTCATGAACACACACACTGGACTCACCGTCCTGGCGCCGGGGGCCAGCGCTCCGTTGGAGAGGTAAGGACTACAGAAGTTTCCCAGGTCTGGGATCATGAAGAAGGGATATCCAACAAAAGGAGAGGAAGAGACCTGGAAGAGACCTCCATCCTGCTGCCTCCTCAGGGCTGAGAGAGCAGGTCCACAGAGCAGAGTGAGGCGCACACACACATCTATTGGCTTATCGTTATGGGTTTGCATTTTAAATCTAAATAGTCTGTTAATGTATATAGATACTTAAATAAAGGTTACAGAAATATTTACCTTCTTGAAACAGATGATTGTGTCGGATCCTATTCTCCAGATCCGAGTTGGCCCTAGACTGTCTGTCAGCCTACACACACGACCACCACAACAACAGATAACACACGGACATACAAACAACAGCAACACAGACACACACATACCAATAACCCAACACACAATAACAAAACAACAACACGCACACCCACGCGGAAACAAAGCACAGTGCGGTGTAACAGCAGTGGGTCTGCAGCAGAGAAACCAGAGTAAAGAACTGACCCCAGACCACTTACCTCGGAGTCTGAGCTGGACTCGGACTCGTTGACCAGAGAGGACTTGACATCGTCCAGGTCTCGTTCAGAGGAAGCATTCCTCTTCTCCTCTTGCTCCCCTTCATCTTTAAAGGCGATCAGTTCGTCGTTTGCTCCCAGATCGTCTCCCCCGCTTAGCTGCGGCATGTCTGCCCGTTAGCCGCTGCAGCTAGCACGAGCTAACGGCTGATGGACAACCTACACTGCCCGTTAGCCGCTGCAGCTAGCACGAGCTAACGGCTGATGGACAACCTACACTGCACGTTAGCCGCTGCAGCTAGCACGAGCTAACGGCTGATGGACAACCTACACTGCACGTTAGCCGCTGCAGCTAGCACGAGCTAACGGCGGAGTTAGCCCGAGCGATGGCTATTTACAGTTTGTAATGGAACAGCCAACCAGAGCTGAAATCCTTTGATGTTGTCGGAGTGTTTCACAGTTCGCATCCAGCCAAAGTGATTATATTGTCTTTTGTGGCGTCAAAACTCGCTTATTAAACTAACCTGCTAGCTATCGTTAGCTACTGCGGCGTTCACTGACGCGTATGTTTGTTCCGCTGAATTCCTGAAGTCTGGAAGTCTTTGGGTAGTCTTCCTGGAATCTCCTCCACCACAAAGACATTCCATACAGAAGTGCAAGCGCAGGGAGAGTTGTACTGACAATATAAGCGACTCAGAACCAACTCGGGACCGCTGCCTTCAAGAACCCGGACTAAAAGTTTAACGTGCAGTTCCTCCAGCGGGAAAAAGTAAAGGCCCGTTGAGATTTTATCCAAATGTCCGGAGTCCGGTTTAAAACAGGCATCGTTCTACGGACGAGAACTCAGATCCAGACCTTTGTTTGTGTGGCAACACTTCTGGTACCGAGAAAGGGACTCTGCAACTGTTGGGGGGTACCTAGACCGGTACTGACTCTGGACCAGTTCAGCTAAGCGCGCTAGTCTTCAGCAGCCAGTTGAACTGATCCTGGACCAGGCTCAACAGGTTGATCGCGTTCGTTTGAAAAAACAAAGAGGTGGGCGGAGTTTACATGGACAAGAAAGACACTTTTCAGGAATCAGGAAACATTTATTGCCAAAATATGTCAAACATACAAGGAATTTGTCTTGGCGGTTGGTGCGTGACAGTAGAAACCTTACAGCAGTGGTCCCCAAACACCGGGCCGCGGACCGGTACTGGGCCGCACCACAGAATGCTTATATATATATTTTTCTGAAAAATGTTTTATTTTGAAAATTGACCGGATTTTCTCCTAATTACGTGCGCTCGTCCCTCTGACAGATTCCCCACGCGTCACCAGGCGTTTTTCTTCACGTTTACAATTGTCCTCTTACCGCGCACGGCAGTTTCGCCCACCAGCGAACACAGGCCACATTTACACATAGCCGGGTATTTACGGCCCCGGACGCCATCATAACTACGCCAAACCTGTAGTCGGCAGTGTAACGACAAGGATAAAGACATGCAAACCAATTCTCAAAACCAACAACAAGTCGCATACTGTGGCGTTTGACAACCTAAAACTCCGTTGGACCAAGTTCACACACAAACACAAACACAGAGTTTTCAGAAATCTCCACTTTGGCGGAGTTTTTAGAAATGATCGTTTTCCGAGATAAAATCTTCCTTTTTGTGTAAATGAAAGGCCAAAACGCATGAAAATATACGCGTTTTCCCATCGTGTAAACGGGGTCACAGAGCGCGCGACTACTACCCCCCCCCCGTCGGACCTTCTCGACCGGTCCGCGAAATATTGTCTGACATGAAAACGGTCCGTGAGGTGAAAAAGGTTGGGGACCACTGCCTTAAAGGACCAGTGGGACACCTTAATGACGTCATGGCCCGAACAATGTTATCATCATAAATCAGAATATTAACGTTATATAACTTGTCTCCAGGTCAGTGCAGCAGACTGAGAACATTTAGTACATACAGTTAAAAGTAAAATATATCCTGAGATTAGGACATTTATGCATATAAGGTTAAATCTAAAGAGTCTACAGGTCTAAACTTTAATTAAACTAGTCTACAGGTGTATAGTCTAATCTCTTTAGATCTATACACCTGTAGACTAGTTAATAGTGAACAATTTGTTCTTTTTGAACGAATCCTTACAAGGACTCGGGAGTAACGAGTCCTCTCAAAGAGAGATGCGTCCATCTAACGTTAGTCTGCAGAGGACCACCACTGTGTCCCTAAAAGACGTGGGTTGAAAACATCCTGCTAAATGTGGGAACATTGTTGGCACTTCAAACACAGCCGTCAAATGATGAAGAGTTGAGAGCAAAGTGCACGAGGACAACAGGAAGAGTCGCTAGTTGTGTTTAAAATAACATTAACAATTAAACAACGGTGTCTAAAATACACGCTTTCTAAAGATTACTACTACAATTAATTTGTTTTTAATCAACTGACAGTCCTAAAATAAATAAATCACCGCTGGGCACGTTAATGCTTAATTTACAAAAAGGTTTTTAATGCGCCCTAAAATAACTCTGCATTATTAGGGTGTTAATAGCTTGTTATTATGGCATTATTAGCGTTAACTAACACAAACACACGCTCAAACACAGGACAATGATTGTAGTTGCCTCACGAGGGGCGACGTCATGCTTTTCAACAAATGATAGCACTGGGACGGGCCTAAGAATGCTCTTCAACCAGACACATGAACCAACAGGCTCTGTTCCCACCATGTGACTTTTATGTGAACATTTACATTTAGATCTTGTCCACTTGATGGAACCACTACGATCATGTCTTAAATACACCCAAGACGTGAGAAGAAGCTGCTCTTAATTGTAACTCTTTATTCAGGTAACCCAGCCATGCAGTTTATATTCAATAACCAGGGTTAGGGTTAGGGAGGCTTTCCAGGGTTAATGATGGTAAACACACACACACACACACACACACACACACACACACAGCAGAACCATTGTAGTTGTTTTGTGTTGATGAACGAATGGAGGTTGGTCAGAGGGAGCAGCTACTGAAGGAATGAGGCTCATCTAGTTTCACTAGTTTCACTCTTCAGAGCGAAGGATCTGCTGTAACGAGTAAAGTAGAGTTAATGTTACTGGAACCTCTTCGTTGAGGAAAGCTGAAGACAATGGCAGTGAATTTGAGTAAGAATGGCCCTTCACTCATGGAGGCGTATAAAGAAGTAGTGGATGGAAAGATGGACACAAACTGGTGAGTTATCACTGGTTATGAAATGCTAACCTACCAACATGCTAACCCTCTGACACCTTCTGACATGCTAATCTCCTGACATATTTTTGGAACAGTAAATCACACACAGCATGCCATACAATATTGCAAGTGTCGACCAAACTGAAATAAAGCATGAATGGCAGAGGGGTTACCCCTAATGGGTCGCGTATTTTCCTAGTCGATCCAGCTTGTCCAGGCAAATGTCATCGGAATATTCAATTAAAAAGATACATCATAATAGGGGTCGATCTTACTAAGTAAATGTCCATCGGAAATCGTAGGCGTGTCCATTTTTCCATACAATTCCCAGCTTGGAGCATCTGGTCCCACTGGTGTAGGTGGGTGGGGCCTGATCATACAGTTTGTTTTTCCACAGCCCCCTTAAAGGTGCACTTCTGTTGAGGGTCAATCGAACTGTCATGTTCAAGATTTCATATATCTCCCTCTTCACCTCCTCCCAGAACTTCTCAATTTAGGACAATCCCAGAAAATGTGATGAAAATCCCCTATTAGACCACAACCTCTCCAGAAGAGAGGTGGAATACTTCTCGTCACATTCTGACATTTTAAACCATATTGAATTACCGACCTGCTAACCTACCGACAGAGCAACCTATCAACATGTTAACCTGCTGACAGGGTAACCTGACACGGTAAAATGATAACCTACCAACAGGCTAATCTGCGGGCATGTTAATTAACCTGTTTACACGTTCATGTGCTGACATGCTAACCTGGTGACATGCTAACCTGTTGAAGAGTTCACCCGTGGACATTTTGACATACCACCATGTTAACATACCAACATGCTTACCTGCTGACATGCTAACCTGGTGACATGTTATGCTACTGTGCTCACTGTGTGTTTGTAGGGCGCTCTTCACTTATGAAGGGAACACCAATGACATCCGTCTTGCACAGAAGGGAGGTAAGATCTGATAAACACATTCTGCAATATCCACTAATAGAAGGTTAAACTGACTCTGAGAGCGCCGGGTGTCCGGATTTATGAGGGGCCATTTAGGACTTAACTATTGAGACACTCTTGCATGCTCATATATAAAACATTATACATACTCATCTGAAAGTGAAACTGATCAGTAGTGTGCGCGAGAGCGTTTCAATAGCGAACGTGAGTGTTTCATTAGTCCGCGTGAGAGTGTCTCAGAGGTTTAGTCCTAAAACGGCCCCTCGTACGTATTGTCTAATACCTCATGAACGTATGATCTTCCTCATTGTTTTTGTTGAAAACACATTTAATGTGTTTGCTCCCTCAAGTTGTTTCAAGCTCCAGATATAATTTTGAAATATGGTAAAAATAACCAACAGTATTAATCACTTCAGAATGCTGCGTCTTTTATATGAGAATCAGTGGCGGGCCGTGCATTTCCTACCTGGGCCGTCTATTACTACTACTGAATAACCTAATGACTTCATTATGACGTCACAGTTACACATTATTTGATTTTGTGGAAACACCTCATATTCACATAACACTAACATTTATAGTGAATTAAAATGTTACACGAAGCTCAATTCAAATACACTAACTGCAGATACATGAATACGCCATGACGGGATGCTGCATGATTAATAAACAATACATACAATAAAATCATTGTAATATATCAATGACTATAGCAAATTCACAAGACCCAGTCACATTTATTTAAAACAAAGCATGACAAAAAACCCATTAAAACCGATGCACTAATACAGCACACAGACTCAAATACACGGCCCATTCAAATATTATTTACATCAGAGGTAATGATGGACAAATTAACACACTGCTGCAGATGTAAACACACAAAAGCAGTAAAATTAGGAAATGCTGTTCACGATATATAAAGTTCAACCTGAACTCTTCCTAAATACTAAGATCTGCTTGCTAGCTTTCTGTTTGACAGAAGTCACGTGGCCCACTGACCAATCAAAGTGATTAATGCTTAGCGTGAATGCAGCGGTATGAAGCTAGCTCGATACTACTGGAACGAAGAAGAATGTGATTATTTTATTATTGCAGTTATATTTGCTGTCAAAAAGTGGTATTTCTCTGTGTCTGTGTGCAGATGGAGGGTTAGAGGAGATGGTGGAGGAGCTGAACAGTGGGAAGGTGATGTACGCTTTCTGTCGAGTCCAGGACCCAAACTCTGGTCTGCCAAAATATGTCCTCATAAACTGGGTGAGAAAAACACACACACAGACACACGTTCACAAAACAATACAGAAATATAGATACAGCACATTGAGGCTCAGTTGTTTGGGTTCACGTCTGTGTGCACAGACAGGTGACGGTGTAAAGGACTCTAGAAAAGGAATGTGTGCCAACCACGTGAGCTCGCTGTCCAGCTTCCTGAAGGTGTGTGACCTGATCAATGTGTGTGTGTGACACTAGGGAGCCCATGTGACCTGATCAATGTGTGTGTGTGACACTAGGGAGCCCATGTGACCATAAATGCCCGTGGAGATGATGACGTGGACCCGGAGACGATCTTGCAGAAAGTGGCCAAAACCTCTGGAGCCAACTTTCACTTCAACAAACCGAAGGAACACAAAGACACTACGAGAGGATCTGTTGTAAGAAACATGGACCTCTGTAATAAATAAAAAACTAATATGTTTACAGGAACATGATGTTGGGAAGGTTAGGGGTTAGGGGTTAGGGGTTAGGGTTAGCCTTACGCGGGGCATCATTTTGTAGGGCACGGTGTAGGTGTTGGTTAGCTAATGTGAAATTAAATCATTGACATCAATAGACTTATTAATAATCGCTAAGATAATTCACAAAGTAAATAAAAAACACCCTGAAAGGGACTAATAACCAAACTATAAATCAATTGATATTCACTCATTAAGAGTAAGGAATTTAAGGTTTGAGTTTGTACACTGGCTGTGTTTCCAGCCAGCATCACAAAGTATATCCTAAAGTATAACAGGGATTATTAACTTCCAATAATACAAATCTGAATTTGAAATCAACAAAAGCTATGATACAATATCCTATTATCTAAACAACAAATACAAATATGAATTCATGTGTGTGGAGGGGGAGGTGTGTGTGTGTCTGTGAGATAAGGAGGGGAGCTAGCTGGACGCTGAGCTACCAACCACATGGCAGGTAGCAGGCTGTGTTTGTACACCACGTGTGTTCCCCACATAGTTAAACCTCTGTCTGAAGGTAACTGTGTATGTGTGGAGGGACAGAAATCAAAGAAAGGACTCAAAGCAAAGGCACAACAGCGGTTAACTTCATCACGTCACACAGTTCATAAACATAGACAATCTCTCGTTAAACAATACAGTAAACATCAAAACAGAAATAACGACACATGCTAATCTAACTTCTGCTATGAATGAGACTGTAAAATCGTATAATCTTTTTTTAATGGTAAACACAACTGAACTCGAGTTATTGGAGTAACGTGAATCATAACTCATACCTTCTCTGCTGTAACAGGGTTCTGTGTATCGGAAGGTCAACGCTGTGGAGGAAATACAACAAACTAGAAAAGACGACTTCTGGGGTCAAAATCAGGTGTCTCTTCACATTACTTAGAGGATGTACAGTTTGGCTTGATTTCATCTGGAAATAACGTAAGTGTCTTCTTCAGAGGGACGAAGCACTTCGTCAACAGGAGGAGGACCAGCGGCAGGTGGAGGAACAAACGTTGGAGAGGAAGAGGAAGGAGGTAGAGGAGAAGCAGATGAGGGAGAGGGAGAAGAAAGCCAAGGAGAGAGCTCAGCAGATCGAACAGGAGAAGTGAGTCTTCATCATCATCAACCACGTCCACGTCAGCTGATTGGTGCTTTTTGTTTGTCCTCCGGGACTCATCAGAGAGAAAAATAGGAGCTGGTGTTCATCATCATCAACCACATCTGTTCACATCTAACAGCTGATTGGTGCTATATGTTTGTCCCCCAGGACTCTTCAGAAGCAGATAGAAGAAGAGGAGCGAGAGATGGAGCAGCAGAGCCACGTGAGTTTAATAGAACATTCTTCATCTTCACTTAAGGTTCATCCCTTTCCAGAACCAGGAAATAGATCTGTGAATACCTCTGGAATCTGACCGTGACTCCAGTGCTGTAGTTATGAGGGTTCAAGTAGACTTACCATTTAAAAGATGACACTGTTTTATATAACATTTAAATATTAAAACAATGTGACAATAACACAATGTGTCTGATTTAGGACCTGCAGGAAGATGTAAACACGAAGTCTGGGATTAATTTAGCTGTATCTGTGCATAACTTATGTGGCGCAGGGGTAGAGAGGGAGAGCTGGGAACCACAAGGTTGGCGGTTCGAGCCCCGGCTGCTTCATGTCGAAGTGTCCCTGAGCAAGACACCTGACTCCTAATTGCTCTCTGGGCAAAAATGTAAAAAGCCATGAGTTATAAATGCAATGTAAGTTGCTTTGGATAAAAGCGTCGGCTAAATGACCTGTGATGTAATGTAATAATGTTACACATACAGGAACTTGTCCTGGTGATTGATGGGATATAAGAATGAAATAAGATAGAAGTAAAATGAAAATATATATAAGTCCATTAAAACATGTATGTATATACATATATTTCCATCCATCCATGATCTCCTGTATTTCACTATATTTAAAATAAATCTAATCCTAAAATAATCTAATGTATTGTAATCTGATTGAAATTAAATTATGCCTGAAAAATAAGGTTTACCCATATTCATCAAAGATTGAATATCATTAAACTACAGATGTTAGTGGTTTTATTTAGTATAGCTCAAAATCACAAATTACAAATTTGCCTCAGAGGGCTTTACAGTCTGCAACATCCTCTGTCCCGAGACCCTCACATCGGCACAGGAAAAACTCCCCCAAAAATGAAAACCCTTCTATGGGGATAAAAGGGAGCACGTGCTGCAGCATTCTGAATCAACTGGAGAGGCTTAAGAGATTTACAAGAGCAGCCTGATAACAGAGAATTACAGTAGTCCAGTCTGAAAGTGACAAACGCATTAACTAATTGCATCACTTACTTACTGCATCACTTTGAGACAGGAAGTTCCTGATTTTAGATATATTACGTAGATGAATAAAGGCCGTCCTTGAAGTCTTCTTTATATGCGAGTTGAAGGACATATCCGGGTCGAAGAGAACTCCAAGGTTCTAATCTAGACGGTGCTGCTGGGTACCAGAGACATTCCATTCAGAGAAACTGTGTCGGCTGGCTTTGAAGGCCATGTGGCTATAACTTCCGTTTTTTCTGAGTTTAGCATCATGAAGTTGCAAGTCATCCAAGTTTTGATATATCTAAGACATTCTTGAAGTCTAACAAGCTGGTTAGTCCCAGATAGACAAGAAAAAAGGTTTGGTCCAATGCAAGATCATCCCTAGTTTTCACTAGTGCTGTTTCTGTGATTAGATTCAAGTTTATTGTCATTGCACAGTACCCACAGTACAGGTACTGAGACAACAAAATGCAGTTTAGCATCTAACCAGAAGAGAGCAGATACAGTGCAGAGTATATATAAATAAATCTACTGTGTGAAATATACATGGAGCAGTATATACATAAGAAGCAGGGTTGTAAATATGAATGGCGTGGTCAGAATCACACAGGTTTGTATTTACTGGTCAGGGAGTGGCATTATGGGTAATGTCATGCCCTGCATTGATTGAGCGTGACTCCCCAAATTGTTTTAATGAGATACATTAAGATAACCCTTGATTAGTCTTAATTCCCCTTTAAACCCTGTCTATATTCACAGAAGGCCAAGTCACACATTCCCCAGAGGTCCTTAAACCCCAGAGACATGTTCAAGCAGAGGGAGCAGAGCTTTGAGTCTCCTGCTTCCAGACCTGGTGAACCTGCACAGATCAATAAGCTCAACCAATCATATTGATAATGATATTACAGATTCATATCATGGCATAATTAATGGTCTCATTCTGTGTCTCAGGGAAACTTTTATCTGAGTCCTTTGAGAGAGAAACTCCGCTACAACCTGAGTCTCGTCCTGCTCCAGCTTTGCTCCCCTTGTCTCCTGTCTCATCTATCTCACCTGTGAGGTCTCACTCACCTGCCGCACCACCACAGACAACTGGTTCACCTTTTGCAGCTGCAGGTGAGACACATCAGATCCATCACCTCAACAGGCTGTTTGATAGGTGAGGTGATGGATCTGATGTCACATTGTGTTATTAAACATTAAGTACTTGGGCTAAAACAACGTCACTTCCTGACAAACCTCCACTTGACTTAACTACTGAAGGTTTATTTGTCCTTACATGACCTTCACTGTCAGGACCTCCATTCTGATGACCTTCCTTCTGATGTGTTTCAGTCTAACGACCTTCATTCTGATGACCTTCGGTCTCAGGGCCGTCATTTTGATGACCATCAGTCTCAGGACCTTTCAGTGTTAGGGCCTTTAGTCTCAGGATCTTCAGTCTCAGGACCTTCATTCTGTCGAACTTTAGTCAACTTTAGTAATTTTGGCGACCTTCAGTCATAGGACATTCAGTCTCTTCAGACGTTTTATGTGGACTGGAAACGCTTTTACTGCTAATAATAATTAAATGACTTAAATTTACAACAAATTCATTGTATTTACCCCTAATAACTTAAGGAATAACAAGAAGAATACATAACATTCATTTAATAACCTTTCGTTAATATTTTATTCCACCAAATGAAACTAGTGTAAAATGAAAATATGAAAGAAGATAAATCGCTAACATGTCTTTGATCCACACAGAACAAGAGTGGTCTGACGAGTTTGAAGACGAAGATGGAGATGAAGCTCCTCCTGGTACGACTACATGTACATAATTACTGCAATCAGTACTGGTGACAAGTATTAGTTGTACAAACCGGCAACCAGTACTAGTGACTCTGTGGATGATCATAATTGTCGCCATAAGCTTTGTTTAATGTCTCCAACAAGAAGACGTGTACGAGGCAGAGACTGAGGAGGACCTGTACGAAAATGTTTACGATCCCACAATCCCCTCGGTGAGTTCTACCATCTTTATTCAGAAATGTACCAAGTACTGTTATTGCTGCTTGTTTTATATCAAAAGAACATTTATGCTTATGTGATACAGCATGTTTTGAAACTGTATTAAATAAGCCTCTCTTTGTTAGGGTTCCGCCCTCCAAACTTCATGTGGTTTTATTTCAATAAATATTTGATCAAAAGCGGAAATATTTTCCTCAGTCGGATAACACCGATGTGAGATGATCATCTGAATTTACTAATATGGAACTCTTTCCTATATTAGAACTGAATAATAAAATCACTCAAATGTTTTTACTAAATAATGACCTCATGTTTATATTATTAGTAATAATACTGAATAATGAAATCAGTAATGTGTGAGAAGGACTAATATGTTATTACTCAAAATGAAATTAATATTATACCATTGCTAAATTAACTCATTATTATGTTATTACCAAATAATGAATGGAGTTGCTCTTTGATTGATTATTGATATGAATGTAAGGGCGAAGACGTTGATGTGGACACGAGAGGACAGAGCATTATGGCCAGAGCTTTGTATGACTACCAGGCTGGTGTGTATACACACTCACACACATACATGCACAAACACGTACACACACACACACACACACACACAAACAGGCACATGCACAAACACGTACACACACACACTGTCACAAACACGGGCATACACACACACACAGGTACAGGTATACACAGACACACACTTGCCTCACCATGAACTCTTCTCCACAGTGGACGACACTGAGATCACCTTTGACCCCGGTGACATCATCACAGGGGTTGAAATGCTGGATGAGGGCTGGTGGAGAGGATTCGGGCCTCAGGGAGGCTTCGGGATGTTTCCCGCTAATTATGTGGTGCTCCTCTAGAGCCTTTGACCCTCCTTCTGGTCACCTGACGGGAAGTTGACTAAGACAATAAAAGATATTACTTAACTTATAGAAATCTGTGGTCATTATGCATTGAGGGTTTGTCTCAACATTCTGTCACGTTCGGTCACGGTACGGGCGGCAAAGATCCACGCGCAGAGGGAGGTCACAAAATAAGGGTTTTAATGTTCAACAGAAACAGCGAGCCGAGCTCGATGGCAAAACATAGAACAAAAATGTATTCTCTAGGAGACCAGCTAGGCAAAAGGCAAAACGAAAGATAATCCTCGGGACAGGGGAATCTCCTCCTTGGAGAACGAAGCTCGACAGGAGCCCGCAGGATGCAGCCCCTGAGGCACGACGCTGGAGGCCGGACGAGCAAGACTTGGCTGTGCGCAAACAGAGAAGGTCTTGAGGCTGCTGGACAGGGGAAGGGTTGGCTCACAAGAATAATCCGACAAGACACAAAGGGAACACATGCAAGATATAGACAGGGTGATTAGACATGACGAGAAACAGGTGTAACAGCAAACGGCGCGGCCACTGATTGAAATGAGCGGCAGGTGGATGGGAAGGCTATGTGAGAAGTGGGTGTGTGTGTAGAGGTGAGACTAATGGGCAAATGAGTGTGTCAGTGAATGTATATGGCAGAGGGGGAGAGAGAGAGAGAGACCCGGATCCTGACACATTCATCGTTAGTAGATTAAAAGATATTAGATAGTTATAATAAACACAGTTCGTTAAAACTTGAGTAATTGGTTTCATTAAAAAATGTATTACTAGACATCAAAGATTGAAAAAAAGAAATATTGTTTAGTGTGAGTTGATAATTATAAAATAGAAAGAATGTGTTGATACAGTATTGATTAACTAATAAAATATATGTAATGTCGTTTGCGTCTTTAATTCAAACTAGAGACCTATATGGCATTATCTACAATTACATAATATTTAAATTAGTTTCTTTTAATAAAAGTAAACCACAAATGCATTTTTTGCCAAACTTTGTGTTGCATCCTAAACAGTTCTTCACATGTAAAGATTTATTCAAAAGTGATATTACTGACTTAAAATAACTATCTGTCAAAAGTGTCACGGTTTGGGTTTAGGTCCTGTCTTATTTTGTAATTTCATACCTCTTGTGTCCCTGTGTAAACTTCACTTCCTGCCTTGTCCTCTCATCCCCTGTGATTGTCTGTCCATGATTGTTTCCACCTGTGTCCAATCACCAGGGGCCTCATTTATAAAACCTTGGCTAGGATTTGCGCCAGAAGTGGGGTACGCACAGAAATATTCAGACTTATAAAACGTCCTACGCAGTTTTCCCTTAATAAATCACAATCACTTCTAAATGCAGCGCAGCTTTTGCGGCTTCATGTCACGCCCATAGTTGCCCATATATAGTCTGTGGAACGCCCACAAAATAATATTCATCGATTGCGAAATCATGACAAACACTGAGAGGAAAACGAAGAAACGTAACTTCACTCAGTGTGAAGTGGAGATGATCATTGGAAGGTGGAAGGAGACGTAAGATGCTCTTTGGAGGACACAGTGTGGATCACTGATGCCAACAAGGCACTTGAGGGGCAAAAGGTTGCAGAGCAACGCTGCAGCCTCACGACACCGGAGCTGTCCCCTCCTGATGAGAGACAGTATTGGCATTTTTGGGGTCGTCGTGGCGCAGGGGGTAGAGCGGGTGCGCTGGGAGCCGCAAGGTTGGTGGTTCGAGTCCTGGCTGCCCCATGTCTCAAGTCGAAGTGTCCCTGAGCAAGACACCTAATCCCTAATTGCTCCCCGGGCATAAATGTAAAAGGCCTGGGTTAAAAGTGTAAGTCGCTTTGGATGAAAGTGTCTGATCAATGACCTGTAATGTAATGTCATTTAATTTACAACAGTCTAGTTTTACACACTTTCACACGTTTTTGTGCGTACGCATGGGTCCGAGCTTGCGTGAAGGACCGCACATTTTTCCGTCATGTTTGCTTTTTATAAACACCAATTATTGCGTAGAGAGCGCCGTATGCCTTTTTTTGTGCGTACGCAACGTTTATAAATGAGGCCCCTGGTCCCCGACTTGTCTGCGTTTTTCCCCTCGGCGTTTTAATTTGGATTGATGAAGAAGTTTTTGTTGTTCGCACTCTGCATCTGAGTCCTGTTTTTGGCAACCCCACCCCGAGTCGTGACAAAAAGCTTTACCAACAGTTGAACTCAGTCTACTGAAAGGGCATGACATGAAGTAAAAAGGCATCGTAAAGAAATGGATTAACAATATGTCAAACAAAAATATCAAAGACAAAAGAATTAATTAATTAAAAAAGAAATTATTTTGGCGACGAGAAGTGAAGGTTAAGTGGGGTGGAAAATGATGGTATAGTCTGGTCTGCCCCACGGACACACTTATCTAAGTTAAAGGTAAACAACCGAGGAGTTATAGTAAATAACTTAATTAAAGTTAAAACTAATAATGCAATAGTGCAACAAAATAGGATAATTAAAGGGGGTCTTTTGAAGATCACATCTCTGTCATCTAAAGCTGTTTTGGTAAATGAACTAATATCAGATCACCATGTTGATGTATTTTGTCTTACTGAAACGTGGTTGTTGAATGGGGAATATTTCTGTTTAAATGGAGCGACTCCTCCGAGTCATGTTAATACTCATATTCCCCGAGGCACAGGCCGAGGGGGGGAGTGGCAGCTATTTATGACTCCTGCCTTTTAATACACTTTAAACCTAAGGTGGATTATAACTCATTTGAAAGCCTGGTTTTCAGTCTTTCGCAACCGACCTGGAAAATAATCCAGCCGGTTCTCTTTGTAATAGTGTACACGGCCCCAGGTCCTTATTCAGAATTTCTTTCTAAATTTTCAGTTTGGTCCTTACAACGGACAAGGTCATTATTGTGGGTGACTTTAACATTCATGTGGATGTCGACAACGACAGCCTTGGTACTGCATTTCTTTCATTGTTAGATTCAATTGGTTTCTGTCAGTGTGTAAATAAACCAACTCACTGTTTTAACCACACTCTCGACTTGGTTCTTGTGTATGGGATTGGGATTGAACATTTAACAATTTTTCCATAGAACCTTCTCCTGTCGGACCATTGGGTTAGGGTTAGGGTTACATTCAACCAGTGCCGACCTGTCCTCAGATGTAGGAACCTTGGATGCAGCAGTGGGCCCTGATGCCTGTTTGGATGCCTTCTCTTCTATCAACCTTGATCAACTGACTTTATTATTTCGAAGTCTAAATCTTCTACTTCTCTACGTCTCCTGGATCCGATTCCGACCAAGCTGCTTAAGGAAGTTTTTCCTTTAGTTAGCACATCCTTATCAGATATTATGAATCTGTCTTTTTTGACAGGACATGTACCACAGTCCTTCAAGGTAGCTGAAATTAAACCTCTTCTTAAGAAACCTACTCTTGCTCCAGAGGTGTTGGCTAACTACAGACCTATCTCTAATCTTCCCTTCCTCTCTAAGATCCTTGAGAAATCCGTCGCAAATCAATTATGTGACTTTCTACAAAACAATGCTTTGATCCAGGATTTCCAGTCAGGATTTCGAGCGCATCACAGTACAGAAACAGCACTGGTGAAAATTACGAATGATCTTCTACTTGCATGGGACCAAGGACTCATCTCTTTTCTTGTCTTGCTGGACCTCAGTGACTAAGATGACACCATAGACCATTGTATCCTGTTGCAGAGCCCATTTGATTGGTATCAAAGGAACTGCACTCAGCTGGTTTAAATCCTACTTATCGGATCGATCCCACTTTGTGCTTGTAAACGGTGAATCCTCGAAGACCACCAATGTTGGTCACGGAGTCCCACAAGGTTCTGTACTTGGGCCGATTTTATTTACCATCTATATGCTTCCTTTGGCCGATCTTATCAGGAAACACCACATAAACTTCCATTGTTATGCAGACGATACTCAACTGTACCTGTCGATCAAACCAGAAGAGACGGACCAGCTAGTTAGACTTCATGACTTGCAACTTCATGACGCTAAACTAAGAAAAAACGGAAGTTATCTTCATAGGCCCAGAGCGCCTTCAAAGTCAGCTCTCACGTGATACAGTTTCTCTGAATGGAATTGCTCTGGTACCCAGCGGCACCGTCAAGAATCTTGGAGTTCTCTTCGACCAGGATATGTCCTTCAACTCTCATATAAAGAGACTTCAAGGACTGCCTTTATTCATCTACGTAATATAGAGTGGGACAACAACAGCAAAGGAAGACACTATCACAGGATACAGAAATCCATCAATATGAAGCCATTCAAAGGGAGGTTTCGGAGAGAGGGGGGTCATCATATCACGACTAAGACTCTGACACGCAGGGCTGAACTCAACTCTGTTCGTAATGGCAAAGACAGGATTAGACAAGTGTAATAATTGCAACAAAACTGAAGATGTGGAACATAATATTATGAAGTGTCAAAATACAATAACGAAAGAAACCGGTTGAAGGCTAAAATTTGCCAGCAGGGACGGGAGTGGAGTGTGGAGGGAGGCGTGAGTGCTTTAGGGCACTGTTGCAATTCATAAAAGAGACGGGACCAGGATGTAGGTAACAGTGATAGGCTGAGCAATAAACCCTGAATCTGCACACTCCGGTACAGTAGGTGGCGGTATGCACCCACTTAAGTTGGCTGCGATCCGCCAGCACAAACCTAAAGAAGAACGTCTGACGTCATAGCGCCGCGACAAGCAACAAGAGAGCAACGAAGGAGAAATGGCTGCAAGGTTATTACTCCGCTCGGCCTTCAGAGCCGCTACGACGTGCCGGGCGGCCCCGGTACCGGCTGTGACCCGCGGTATGGCGGCTGGAGGTAAGAACCGAACCGACCCCGCTGTAGAGCCGCAGAACAATACGATATCCGCTTTATGAGAGGACAGACAACGCTACCGGCGAAAGTCCCCCGGAGAACCCCATGAAACGTCTTTAATACATCAGTTGAATGAGAAGCTAGTTCTGCGTAAAGAAGGTCGATTTATTATGATACAAGATGTTCACACAATATAATCCATATTCATCACAATAGACTATTGGAACACGTGTGTGACGACGTTTAGCGTTTTTTAGGCTTGTGTGTAGTTTGTTGTGACTTTTGGTTCAGTTTCTTCATTTTCACTAAAAACAGCGTTAAATTCATATTCATTATATTATATTATATTATAAATACAAGACTGCAGATATTATGACCAATAAATGTGTAGTATCCAATCACATTTTTCCATCTGATAATAGGTACACAGAATTAAATGTAGACAGGCAACACAGGGGTCAAAATAAGGGTTTTAGTTCGAGGACGTGTGACACGGAGGAACGATGTCATTGAGTTTATAACAGTTAGAAACAAGGATTTCTCCCAGTGTTTAACGAGAAGGAACCATGATGTCTGCCAATGTTGGTCTTTAACATGAAGGATTAGTGAAAAGAGAATATATATGTCCACATGTAAGTATTGGATACTTTCCAATGTTCTGGTCTTCTTCAGGGATTCCTACTGATGAGGAACAAGCTACCGGACTGGAGAAGGTCATCATGAACGCCATGAAGGAGGGAAAGGTACAGCCCTTTGAACAATAACTGGTCTCCAAGTAGCTCTCGTACCACAGTGAAGGACGTCTATTGCTCCCGTCCCTCTAACCTGAACCGTCCTGTCCTCCAGGACCCCTACAACATGATGAAGCCTAAGGAGTACGCCGGCTCCAAGGCCGACCCCCACCTGGTTCCCTCCATCACCAACAAGAGGATTGTGGGATGTGTCTGTAAGTGGTTTGTCCTCTTGGTGCTGTGAGTCTTTTCATGTGCGCAGCACTTTAACTGTGTGTGTTTACTGTGCAGGTGAAGAAGACAACACGGCCGTGGTGTGGTTCTGGCTCCATGAGGGCGAGGCCCAGCGCTGCCCGTCCTGTGGTTCCCACTACAAACTGGTGGCCCATGAGCTCCCCCATTAGCTCCCCCATAGCTGTGTTCTGATAGATCAGAATGCTGCTCTTCATTCTTCAGGCTGCATGATGTTATTTGGCTCTTCCCTCTTCTTGGAGCTGCGAGTCCTCTTCTAGTTGGTCCTTGTTCTGACTTGCTGACCTCATCAGTCTCTGCTTTACAAGGTAGCAGTTAACCAGGGACCACATCTGCTGTGTTTGGACCGCTTCCATTCAGAGACAGTTTACTCCTGTTCTGCCCTACTCTCTCCACTTCCCTCCTTTCATCTACCAATAAAACCCTGAAACTTAAATATTCACGTCTTTGACTCTTTACACTTTCTCGGTTTTTAGAAGTTTATCATGTTTACATTCAAACACCCTTTACAGATGAGGAGGTAGAAGCTGTTTGGAGCGGATTCATGGATTGTGACTAGAAGAACTAGTCACAAGTAGTGGTTTTATTACTTCACCTACAGACACACTTCAAGTACATTTAAAGTTACGTTAGATACATTCTAAATGAATTTAAAAACATTTAAATGAAGTTCATTCAAAATGAAGTTTGCATGTTTCCCCCTCGTGCCTTCTTGGTTCTCATCAGGTACTCCGGCTTCTTCCCAAACTCCAAAGATATGGAGGTTAGGTTAATTGCCGTTCCTGTAGATGGGAGAGTGAATGGTTGTGTGTCTCTTCTGTCCCCCCATCTCCCCCTGCCTCCCTTTAAGTATTTAGGCCGGCGCGTGTTTCTGCGTCTTTACGCGCCGGTTTCACTTCCTGGTTGTAAAGTCTTGCGTGTGTTGCAGAGCGATTCACCTCCAGAACAACAGGTGGAGTCCTGTTCATAGAACAACAAATGCACCTCAAGGCCACTCACTCACATATGATTTTATGAAAACAAAACTCGTCAGCATCAGTATAATCTGCAAAAAGTGACTCACTACATAGAGAGGGAAGGAGGTTAAATCCATTTTCTCAAAAAATAAATAAGCAACCACTTTCAAAGCATCCAATATTTACTTAACAACAGCTATTCCCAACACAAATGTATTGAACTGATAGAGCGATCACAGAGGAAGACAAGGACAATCAAGTTATAGTGCAATATGAACATTTTGAAATCTGCCTATTTTGTCTGCCTAACAACAATAAACAATTTAAATTTGAAATGCTTGGTTTCATTTGGCAAACACATCTTACAGCGGCATTTTTCTGGACTTTGAATGTGCAAACTGGTGTAATATCTTCAAAATCAAGGTCACTAACAAGTTCATGTTCGATGGCCAAGAGAGAAAGTGCAGCGAGCCGTGTCTGTGACATCGTGGTCCTCAGCTCATGTTTGACTCTCACCCTCACAGTTAGACACAGGCAAGGTTTAAAACGTTCTTACCCGAGCCCTGCAAAGTGTTCTCGTAGAGTGCCAACATATGAATGCAGTGACCACAGAAGGCCAAGAGCAGTAGCTAAATCCATATGGCTTCTTTGGAGTTGGTCACTTGTTGCCTTAAATCTATGCAGTACACGGTCCCACAACATAGTCATTATTACTCTCTCAAGTTTTGTGACCAATGCAGCAGCTTCGAGTTTGGTTTGTGTTTTCTCATCCCAGTGTGAAGCTATTTTGGCTAATATATCTCTGATTGCCTTGTACTTTTCATTGAGAGCTTGTGTGCAACTCCATCGAGTGCTGCTGAGGGATTTTAGAGTGTCTAATGTAATATTCGCTGTTATGGAAAACTGTATTCCAGCGATGTGTTGATGTGCTGCAAAACGTATAAAGGGACTGTACAGTTCAAAAAAGGAGTTAATCTCCTCACAGCCATTATCAACGCAGTTAACACCCACGAGGTTCAGCGAACGGGCAGCACACGGTGTGTAATGAATGGTTTTGTTTATTCAAGTGCGCCTGGAGCCCTCTGTATTTGCCAGACATATTGCTAGCATTATGAAAACTTTGACCATGACACTTTGACCACAAGTCTAACCCCAAGCGTCGATTCAGCCAGCTTGCACCTGTGTGGCTGTGGACGGGCTCAAACCCAACGGATCGTTCCACCACTCTGCCATCTGCACCGACAAAACCAAAAACAAATGTGAGCTGATCCATGTGTGCTAAATCTGCTGTTGAATCAACGATTACAGAGAAATATTTAGCGTGTCTGATTTCGTCTGCTATCACTTGCTTAGTTTTGTCACCCATTAATGAAATGAATTCCTCACACACAGTTGAGGACATGTAAGACGGCTTACCTCTTCCCTTCAACAGCTTCTGAGGATCTTTTGGTCTACTTCACTTGGTCAGGCAGGTACTATTTAAGCGATTTCTTGATAGAGAACAGTGTGGCTAGAAAAAGATGTGATAAACTACAGCTAATTTATGTTTTAACAGGGGGGGCAATCACTTTTCATACAGGACCATGTAGGTTTAGATATTTTTCTCCCATCATAATAAAAACCTTCATTTAAAAACTGAATTTTGTGTTTACTTGTGTTATCTTTGGTTTATCTTGTTTGATTATCTGAAACATTTAAGTGTGACAAACATGCAAAAAAATAAGAAATCAGGATGGCTGCAAACACTTTTTCACACAACTGTATCTGCACTGGCCAGGGAACGCCTTGGGATCCCCCAGTTAGAGCTGGTAGATGTGGCCCGGGAGAGGGAAGTTTGGGGTCTCCTGCTGGAGCTGTTGCCCCCGCGACCCGACCCCGGATAAGCAGTTGAAGATGGATGGATAGAGAAGGGTCAGCTAGGCCCAATTCCAAGGTGCCTCCTAAATCTTGACACCTAATCCCTAATCGCTCAGGGACCTAATTGAGGTCACCTACCAGGTGGTTAGTTTAACAGTCTGTGAGGCCTTTAAATGGTGTAAATATGAAGGGACAGCATTCTGCTGCCACATGCCACTTCCCCATTACAACTTTAGAAAAATATGTTTACAATTGATCGTATTCATTTAATACTTTTTATTCCCTGATTTAAATGTCTTCAAAAGGGGTCTTTCTTCATAAACTGAGAGGTCATTTTAAATAATGGTTTATATTTTTTGTTAAAATAGTTTGAATATGAATATTTGATCAGAAAATATTGACTGTTTTCATGTTTTTTTCCATCATCAAACCTTAATGTTTTAAATGTACGTGTTTTAATATGATAGTCTGAACTCATGTGCTGTTCTCTTTGTTTACCTTTTTTGTCTCCATTTCTTCATTGATTATCATGGCTTTAACGTCACATTGCAAAAACCTGAGGGTAATTCCCTTGGGCAAAGTCAGCCTCCGATGAGTAAGGGTGCATGAAGGAATGGTAATTATTCCACGAGAGCATCAAACCCTCGGCGGTTGACAGTGGGATGTAACACTTATTCAGTTGAGGCGAGAGCGAGTCCGTAAGGGTGGAGACTGGTATTGGGCCTGACTGACTGACCTTAAATGGGGGGAAAATGGAAGTGAGAGAGAGGAGGATCCCTCTCCCGGGATGGAGGGAATGCAATGGATGTCATGTGTACAGAATGAGATGAAACTATGTATTGAATTATTATTTGGAATAATTAAAATAATATAGGTAGAAATAAATGCATATAAATATTACCGAATTGGAAAAATGATTAGGGGGACACTTAGGCACAAACTCTGTCAAGTCATATATTACATGTAGTGCAGGCCGTTACTGTTCTTATGTCTTTTTCAACAGCATTCAAAGGTTTTTAAATACTTTTCAAGCGGAGACACAAAAAATGTTTTTTTTTTTGTAAACTCACATTTGTGAATACATGATCAATATATTGATGATATGTGCCCTTTTCTCATTTACATATCAACGTGAGATAAAATCATTGTACAAAACAAATGAACAGCATGTTACCTTTGCAATTAAACAATAAAAGACGCCCTATGACTTTCAACCATGCGACGCGTCAGTAAATCCCTGACGTCATCAGCCTGCGACCAGTGTTTGCTGACAGCAAAGAAGGAGAAATGGCTGCAAGGTTATTACTCCGCTCGGCCTTCAGAGCCGCTACGACGTGCCGGGCGGCCCCGGTACCGGCTGTGACCCGCGGTATGGCGGCTGGAGGTAAGAACCGAACCGACCCCGCTGTAGAGCCGCAGAACAATACGATATCCGCTTTATGAGAGGACAGACAACGCTACCGGCGAAAGTCCCCCGGAGAACCTCATGAAACGTCTTTAATACATCAGTTGAATGAGAAGCTAGTTCTGCGTAAAGAAGGTCGATTTATTATGATACAAGATGTTCACACAATATAATCCATATTCATCACAATAGACTATTGGAACACGTGTGTGACGACGTTTAGCGTTTTTTAGGCTTGTGTGTAGTTTGTTGTGACTTTTGGTTCAGTTTCTTCATTTTCACTAAAAACAGCGTTAAATTCATATTCATTATATTATATTATATTATAAATACAAGACTGCAGATATTATGACCAACAAATGTGTAGTATCCAATCACATTTTTCCATCTGATAATAGGTACACAGAATTAAATGTAGACGGGCAACACAGGGGTCAAAATAAGGGTTTTAGTTCGAGGACGTGTGACACGGAGGAACGATGTCATTGAGTTTATAACAGTTAGAAACAAGGATTTCTCCCAGTGTTTAACGAGAAGGAACCATGATGTCTGCCAATGTTGGTGTTTAACATGAAGGATTAGTGAAAAGAGAATATATATGTCCACATGTAAGTATTGGATACTTTCCAATGTTCTGGTCTTCTTCAGGGATTCCTACTGATGAGGAACAAGCTACCGGACTGGAGAAGGTCATCATGAACGCCATGAAGGAGGGAAAGGTACAGCCCTTTGAACAATAACTGGTCTCCAAGTAGCTCTCGTACCACAGTGAAGGACGTCTATTGCTCCCGTCCCTCTAACCTGAAAGGTCCTGTCCTCCAGGACCCCTACAACATGATGAAGCCTAAGGAGTACGCCGGCTCCAAGGCCGACCCCCACCTGGTTCCCTCCATCACCAACAAGAGGATTGTGGGATGTGTCTGTAAGTGGTTTGTCCTCTTGGTGCTGTGAGTCTTTTCATGTGCGCAGCACTTTAACTGTGTGTGTTTACTGTGCAGGTGAAGAAGACAACACGGCCGTGGTGTGGTTCTGGCTCCATGAGGGCGAGGCCCAGCGCTGCCCGTCCTGTGGTTCCCACTACAAACTGGTGGCCCATGAGCTCCCCCATTAGCTCCCCCATAGCTGTGTTCTGATAGAGCTCTGCTCCTCAGCTCATCTCAGATATTCCTCGGACTATCAGAACACCGCTCTTCATTATTCAGGCTGCATGATGTTATTTGGCTCTTGTCCTGGAGCTGTGACTCTTCTAATTGCTCCTTGTTGTCACCAGCTGACCTCATCAGTCTCTGCTTTACATGGTAGCAGTTAACCAGGGACCAAATCTGCTGTGTTTGGACCGCTTCCATCCAGAGACCATTTACTCCTGTTTTGTTCTACTCGCTCCACTTTCCTCCTTACATCTACCAATAAAGTCCTCCAGTGAATTTGTCTGTTGTGGATGTGCTTCACTCTCTTCTTCGTTAGGGCTCTGCATTCATCCAAGATCTCCTAATCGGAAACTTCAGAACATTTTATTCTGAAAAGTAAAATTGAATCAATTATTCTCATTTAATTGTGTTTGATTGATATCTGAGTTTGAGGAAATTCAAGTCTCCAACAATTAACCTGCACCCTGAAGGTTCACCCTAATTAACTAAAGTAGCATTCAGACTTGTTAAACCATCAGGTGATCTACTCATCAGCAGGAAACATCAGAAGAGGTCGTTGGATGTAATTTATAGAGTAGGATATATATATGTGTGTGTGTGTGTGTATAATATATATATATATTTCATGGTCTGTTCAGTCTCAATAATTGCAAATGCACACAGTACGACTCACAAATGCAAACAGGAAAATTCACCAATATATTCCATTTACAAATACATTTCAATGCACACATAAATAAATTACGATTTATATACGTTTGTGGACTGCTTCACATTTGTGTGCGTGTTTTTTGAGACTCGTCTTACGGAGTAGATCCACAATCTTTCTACAGTGCGCTCGCTTTCCCATAACTTTGTGTTGGTAGTGGTACATGTACTTTAAATAATAACTTCACATTTTCAACCGATTTTTAAACGGTTAAAGAACTGCTTTGTTTGAGTGGGATCAGCAAACATGGGTGTTCGAACCGGTACCGATCCGCGGGCCATTCGGTTAATCATGTTTATCCACCGGACTTTCAAGACCGATCCATGAAATGTTGTCTAACATAAAAACGGTCCGTGAGGCAAAATAAGGTTGGGGACCACTGCAATAGAGAACACCCATGTTTGCTTATTCCACTCAAACAAAGCAGTTCTTTAATTTCTTCTGCATCATTAACTGGTCACAATTGGAAATATCTACATGGAACCTGTTAACCTAACTTTAGCCTCAGTTAGCTTCAGCTTCGGTGTCTCTGCACTTTTTTTATCATCTATGTCCCCATCCAGTGCATATCAGGAAACATTTATTACCAAAATATATGTAAAATATATAAAAACCCTGTTCTGTTTTGCTTTTTGTAATCAGGACTGGAACACATCCATTCCTGTCCCAACAGTGATGTAAATGAGCTCCTTGTCTGTAGGAGGAAAGATGTGGAACACACACTGTTCCAGCTGCCAGATGACTACCTGTTGTTGTTGTTGTTGTTAGGTTTTAGCTAGTATTGTTTGGACTGGTAATTCTGAGCTGATCTCAGGTCTGAGGGAGGGAATGTGCACTAAGTTCATCCGATTGAGGGAGGTGGCTTTCGCCATGTTGTCACTGCCCATGGTGGAGATCCGGAAGCGCTCGTAGCTCTCTGCCATCTGGTGGACGCATCGGCTGCAGCGTCAACTTGAGCTCCCTCTGGAAGTTGCTGTTGAGAAAGCCGACAGGGTTGAGGCAGGTGGAGGCCATCACAGACAGGGTTAAGGGCAGGTGGAGGCCATCACCAACAGGGTTAAGGCAGGTGGAGGCCATCACCAACAGGGTTAAAGGCAGGTGGAGGCCATCACCGACAGGGTTAAGGCAGGGTGGAGGCCATCACATGACAGGGTTAAGGCAGGTGGAGGCCATCAGCGACAGGGTTAAGGCAGGTGGAGGCCATCACCAACAGGGTTAAGGCAGGTGGAGGCCATCAGCGACAGGGTTAAGGCAGGTGGAGGCCATCACAGACAGGGTTAAGGCAGGTGGAGGCCATCACCAACAGGGTTAAGGCAGGTGGAGGCGATCACCAACAGGGTTAAGGCGGGTGGAGGCCATCACCAACAGGGTTAAGGCGGGTGGAGGCCATCACCAACAGGGTTAAGGCAGGTGGAGGCCATCACAGACAGGGTTAAGGCAGGTGGAGGCCATCAGCGACAGGTGGCAGGCAGTGTAGATTATTATAAATAAAATGACGACCCATAAATTAATAATTATTGTAATACGGGTCAGTTGTAATCCAGCGTTCTGATTGGTTGAGAGTGAGTCACGGGGGGTACATTATTGAGCGATAATGTACAGTACCTGTTCACATTGACCCAAACATTCCACATCACTGCGCACTCAAAGTAACAGGTTATCTTTTGCGCGACCGTTAGTTGACATTTTAGCTTTTAGCTCGGTGGCGATCGCTGGAAAAAACACGGAAATCCCACAGATGATCAGTTTCAGGCAATGCGAGTTTACGCAACCGGACAATTAAGGTGAACGTCATGAGCGATGTGAATGAATGAGACCCAATGCTCTTTACATGCACGTACGGGGACTATTTTTTCTACTGAAATGAGATACACAACGTCTGGTAGCAAATACTATTTTGTGCTGAAAGGCAGCTATTTACTTACTATTTATAATTTCGCTGGTAACCGTATTATAAAAGGGTACCCATATTATATTGGAGGATCATTATTATAAGCCTACGCGTCAGGCCTAAGTACAGCCTGTCGTACCTTATTGCTTTAATAAAATGCATTTAATGTATACCAGAATACAGCAGTGATTCTGGAGCTATGTAATCAATCAAGTAATGAGAATGTTGTAAAACCACTGTAATTTTGAAACTGTAATCAATAGAATGATACCAAATGTACAGCTATGATTGTAGTCAATGTAATGTAATCAACTGGAATGCATGCACGTAATACTTGATAACTGATATTGACTGAGAGGCATTCGAAATGTGAGTTACATTGAACTCACCAGCAGACCACTGCCGAGGGCGTGGACACTAACTTTCGCACCTTTATTGATTTCTATAAATGCCTGTACCTGTTCTAAGAGTCCGTTGGTAGAAGCAAGAGACAGTCACTATGTCGTAGTCAATGGGCTGCCCTGTGGCCTGTCGATTGCAGAGACCAGTGGCTCCTCATCTGAGATGTTATTTTTATTAAATACTTAATAAAAGAAAAGGTAATAATAACAATAAAAATGCGCGTTACTCCTGACCACAAGGCGGCGGTAATGTGTTGTTGAACTGCCGCAATCCGCAGTGATCCAAACAAGGAAGACAAACCAGTAAGAGAAGAGGTCCAACCCTCGGGAAGAGAGCAACGACAGAGTGGGGACGGTTATCTTACATGATTAAAACACTACGAGCAGAAGAAGACTCGCACGGATCGATAGACACGTATCGTAAACACCCAGTGCGTCATGGAGTCCTATGACATTTTAGCTAACCAGCCCGTTGTGATTGATAATGTAAGTATGATGATGTCATCCATCCACACCCCACCCGAGGCCGCCGGCTGGGGGTTAGCTGCTAGCTGTGAGCATGTCTATTGTTATTGTGGTGGAGGTAATGAATAAGGCTGACATTAGTTGTGCGGCGGTTACTCGCGTCCACAGACAGTGCTTCAAGTTACACACAACATTGTTAGCGTGACGTTATCTACAGTTATTGTATCTCCGCGTGTTTTATCCGATGCCAGCTAAAGCTAAACGTAGCATCAAGCGGCTAGCTACTAACCTGAATGTTAGCTGTCCGTGGTCCTTCAGCTCTAGCGTTACACATTTTCGTAATGCTAAAGTTTAATTAGATGCGTTGGCCATAGGAAGCTAGCCTTGTATAACGTAACGTATGTTTGTGGTTGTCTGTGAGAAGTGTCATTAGAGCTCCAGCTCCTCCCCTGACTACCAGAGATCATTTCTTCATGTTATTCTCATGCAGACTTATTTGCAAGAAAAAAATGAACACTTGTTTAAAATGTTGCATTTCCGTAAGTTATTGTGCATCAGTTTATAGTTGGTGATTGAATCGACGGTCCTAATAACAATAATCTCAATAATGTATAATCATATCCAAACACTACGCAGGGGAGGGTTGGTATCATAAAATATAAATGTGTTTATACACATATCTATATCTGGAATCCCTAATCGGGTCACCAGGTTAGGGTTACCTTGGAAAATAAAGGCTGCGCATGATGTTATGTGTCTAGTGTCGGCCTCACTCGTCATGGAGGAGGAGGACTAAGCGCTTCTGCAGACAAATGTTGTCTGTGTGAGCCTGCTGAGTGGAGCATGAGCGCTTCAGGCTGGGTCTCATGACGATGGGAGATTAAAGCATAACTCTGTGGTGTCACATCCTTCTCTTTTCAGGGGTCAGGGGTTATCAAAGCTGGTTTTGCTGGTGACCAAATCCCCAAATACTGCTTCCCTAACTAGTAAGTGTTTCTTGACCTTTTCAAATAACTTCAAATCAACCAATCTGCTCAGTGTTTACAACTTTAGGGGCGTGGACAGACGCTCCAGAAGGGGGAGGGGTAGTACTCTGGGTCGTCGTGGCGCAGGGGTTATAGAAGGTGTGCTGGGAAGCGCAAGGTTGTTGGTTCGATTCCAGGCTGCCCCATGTTCCATGTCGAAGTGTCCCTGAGCAAGACACCTAACCCCCAATTGCTGCCCGGGCACTTTTTGACTCCAACCTGCCGTTTATTGCAGGGTCAGTCTACAGGTGTAAGCGTCCTCATAACAGACCTTGTGAGACCTGTCAAGGCAAATAAACAATGTAAGCTAACTGTTGATTAACATGTTACAACGGAACTTGCTACAGATCAACTTGCCACTTAAGACCGCATGTGGCGGACTGACATTATGACACTGGGTACCACGCCCACGTCTGCTAGAGCGTGACCGCGCACCCGCCTGTCTCTGTATCTGTAGTGATGGTTAGTGGAATCATTAACCCTGTTACACGAGGACTGGACAATTGTACACGTGAAAAAAATAAATTCCAGACTTTCTAACCCTCACCCCTTGTTCAATGGCAGGGGAAACACTCCCGCTGATTGTTTTTACCGTTGTCATCTCCATTAAAATGTTTTTCTTTGTTTGACTAACAGTCTACATTCTGAAGTTTGTATAAATATGGTGAACATAGAAAAGCAGAAGCTTCTCTCATCTCCAGATGTTGTGACTCAACAATAAGTTGACAATGTATGGTGTTGTTTCAAGCTTCTTGACTCCTCATGTCTCTGATGCAGTGTGGGACGTCCGAAGCATGTGCGCGTGATGGCTGGAGCCCTGGAGGGAGACCTCTTCATCGGGCCCAAGGCAGAGGTAACGCCCCTCATATCATTCTGTGGATGAACAACTGAAGAACTCAGTGGTTCTGTCTAGAGCAGCGATTCCCAAAGTGTGGGCCGCGGCCCCCTGGTGGGCCGCGAGAGGTAATTTACAATAAATAAATAAAGTTTTTTAATTTTCAATTTTTAAAAGTTTGAAATTAATCTAAAAATATTTATGATGCGGCACATTAGTTATGTGAAATATTAGTTGATGAAGCACAAACAATCTAAACGGACAGATTAATAAAACAATAAGGCTCTCGCTGGAAACCTGCTCTTGTCCGCCTGTCGTTGTTCAACAAACGCGGCACCCTCTTGTGGTATTAAAGTCAATATACTGCATTTTCCGCACTCCAAGGCGCACTTAAAAGGCTTTAATTTCCTCAAAACGTGTCTTATAATCCGGAGCGCCATATATATATATATATGGATCAATTGGTTAATCGGTGCGTCTACGACGGCGAGATGCTGAGCGAGATACGGAGCTGCTTTCAGGGCGCGTCGGAGAAACAAAGCTGTTGTTCTCGCCGAGCACTTCATGAGATTAAAGAGCGAGAGACGGCGCCCTTTTCTCTACAGTAGCTGAACCATCTTAACGGGGAAAATAAGTTATTCTAAAAGCAGCCGAAGATTTATGGCGAGGGGAGCGGACGCACCTTGCGGCATCGATGGGACCCTGAACGCACCGTCTCCACCTTACTGTCAGAAAGAACAACAGCGAGCGCGTAGAAAACTCCTTCGAGTGCGAGCAGAGATTCTCCTCGCGAGCAACGAAGCTCACGTTTCACAAGCGAGCAAATACCTCGCGGAGACAGACTTTTGCTCGCGGATGTTTGATTTTGGTTAAATTCTTTAGGTCATTTAATCATTATGATTTGATCAGAGTTGTTTGGGTGGGCCGCAAAAGATTTTCAGATTTCAAATTGGGCCGCGGCATTCTTGAGTTTGGGAACCGCTGTTCTAGGGTATACGATTCCAGAGGAGTGAGCAATGTGTACTTTATGCAGACATAATACTTTGTTACTTTTGGTGTCGGGGTTAAGCCTTCAGTAACATTTCATAGCTGTAGTTGATGTTCTTATGTCATGTGTGTTTGGACCTCTGCAACCCTGACCCAGGAGTACTTGGTTAAAGACTGCTGTGATAGGCGAGCATTTTAGATTACATTTAAGAAGTGACCTTTATCTTTATGAAGGCAACAAAGTAGTTTTGATATATGAGCTCTAACTTCACAGGTAATTCTAATCACTCCTCTCTGTAGTGGAGATTGGTTTGTGGTGTTTAATCATTGACACCTTCAATCTTGGAGCAGATCAGAGTTAAATTCTTTATCTTTTTGATCTGGTCTTCATTTGCTTCTCAAGTTAAAGGTGAAGTTAGTGATGTTGTCTCTCGCTCTACATCAGGAGCACAGAGGCCTGCTGTCGGTTCGCTATCCAATGGAGCACGGTATTGTGAAGGACTGGAATGACATGGAGAGGATCTGGCAGTACGTGTATTCCAAAGAGCAGCTGCAGACTTTCTCTGAGGAGGTGAGATCCTCCTCCTCCTCCCCCTCAATAAGATTCCCCCATGCTGTTGTGTCTCAATCCATCTCTTTGTTCCTCTTTCGTAGCATCCTGTGCTGCTGACTGAAGCTCCTCTCAACCCCAGCAAGAACAGGGAGAAGGCTGCAGAGGTCTTCTTTGAGACCTTCAATGTTCCTGCTCTCTTTATCTCCATGCAGGCGGTCCTCAGCTTGTGAGTTCATGAGTGTTTAGAAATGGTGAAGAGCAGTGTTTCCCCTAGGTTTACAGGTTTGGGGGGGTGGACAACAGTGTGTAAATGTGGCCTATGTTCCATGCAGGTACGCAACAGGTCGCACAACTGGTGTGGTGTTGGATTCGGGTGACGGAGTGACTCACGTGGTTCCCATCTACGAGGGATTTGCCATCCCTCACTCCATCATGCGCGTAGACATCGCTGGCAGAGACGTGTCGCGGTACCTCCGTCTGCTGCTGCGTAAGGAGGGGTACAACTTCAATACGTCGGCCGAGTTCGAGGTGGTCCGCACCGTCAAAGAGGTGAGGGGGAGGGTTTACCTGAGGTATCATTCCTTCTGAGTTATGTGTAATAGTTTATTGTAAATATGAGTTATGCACACTCCTAACCCAAACCCCAATCTCTGCAGAGAGCCTGCTATCTCTCTCTCAACCCTCAAAAGGACGAGACCTTAGAAACCGAGAAGGCCCAGTACGTGCTGCCTGATGGAAGCACTTTGAAAGTGAGTTGACTTTAGATATCTCCATCTAGCCCCTCCCATATGAAACCAATCACAGACCCAGAAACCTGACCCCGTTTCAGATCGGTCCGGCCAGGTTCAGAGCTCCTGAGCTACTTTTCAGGCCCGACCTGATTGGAGACGAGAGCTTAGGGATCCACGAAGTTCTGGCCTACGCCATCCAGAAGTCTGACATGGACCTCCGACGCACCCTGTTCAACACCATTGTGCTGTGTGGGGGCTCCACCCTCATCAAAGGTAAGGGGACACACCTCTCTCTCTCTCACACACACACACACACACACACACACACTCTGAACAGGTCCTCTCTGTTTCAGGCTTTGGGGAGCGACTACTAACTGAAGTAAAGAAGCTGGCTCCTAAAGACGTGAAGATCAAGGTGAGTCTCTTTATCTGAACTTATATTTATAGCTACTTCACTAAATTGTATAGAATTCTGAATTTTAATTTATTGTCTTTCAGATTTCTGCTCCTCAGGAGAGGCTCTACTCCACGTGGATCGGGTAAGAATTCCGAACTTCAGTTTCTTCAGGAGAGAAGAGTAATATTGGAAGTATTTTGTGAGATTTACTTTAGTAAGTTCACACAGAGTGTAGAGCAGTGGTGTGAAAGCAATTTAAGTAAGGGGGCCTCAGACTGTCCCCTTTGACCTCAAATGGGCCAGCCTAGTGAATCATGAGAACATGAAGGGGAACTTGTGGATTGATTTTTTGTGACCGTAATTGTCCTAAAGTCTTTCATCGATTTTTATGATCTTATTACCCAACTAGAATATCCTGTCATACTACATGAGTTTAACGTAAAAGAGTCTTCATGACCGGGGTCATTGATTCACAACAGCACTTCTGGACCTTCACAATTACATATTTAAATGTCGATCCGACCTTGAAAAGGGAAGCATGTTCTGCACTGACATGAATGATAAAAGGAGAATAATTGGTCCTCTCCTCCCGGCAGCGGCTCTATTCTAGCGTCGTTGGACACTTTTAAGAAGATGTGGGTGTCAAAGAGGGAATATGAAGAAGACAGAGCTCGTGCCATCCACAGGAAGACCTTCTAGTAGGCTCTGCCTCCAGAACTGCCCTCAAATGTCCGTCACCATTTTGAGGCAGACTCTCAGACTCTCGTCATCTCTGGGATTCTCTGCATCATCTTTTATTAACCGCTAAACCCCGTTAGCCTGCCCATTGCTACCCCCCCGCCCAGAGAGCACACTCATTCATGTGTGCTAGTCCTCCTGCTGTAGTGTTTACTACAGGCGGCTTACTCTACTTTCATTAGTCCACTCTGAAGTATTTAAGCTCTGAAAGGCCTGAAACATGATATGTCAATAAACCTCAATGTTGTCTTTTTGTGTTTTTGCTACTGTTTAAATATTCATTCCAGACTGCAGACTTTGGTTTTTATCTGATGTGTTATTGATCAAAGGTTTAAAGTACTATAGCAGTGCTGTATATTGCTCCAGTGAAACAAAAAAATAATCCGGCCTGAACCGAAAAGTCAAACTTAGTGTAGCTCATATGTTTCATTTTGTTATTACCAATGAAATGTTTTACTTAAACATCACATGTCTGTGTTGAGGTTGAAAATGTTGACTCAGATTTTTTTGATTAAAGGAAGAGTAGAAAAAAAACTTGATTTACATCTTTTAGTTCCACTTTTACTTGAAGAAATCTGTTCATGTCCCACAGAGCAATGGTTTATTCTCAAACTTACTTGCGTCCTTTTCTTGTTTCCCCTTCCTCTGTTCTAAGGAGACATAAAGGGTGAAAGGTGTCCTTGTGTGCGTTAAAGTCAAACTACCACAACACTGTAAGATAACAGACTAAACATGTACAATTCTGTTGGCTTTTCAATGAAGCATTCTGCTTACCTTTGACCCACAGAGACAAATCCAGTTAATTCATCTTCTGAACCAGAAGAACCAACCCTGGTCGGTTGTTTTTGTGATGGTAAGGTTAAAGGGTTAGAAAGTCACTGAAAAACTCCAGTTTACCTCGAAAGCTGTTGCTGATAAAAAAAAACATAAAATCATCAGGGTTAGATAACTGGGCCTGAAGAGTTAGGTTCTGTGAATGGATCGGGTCCAGTCTGCATCCCAACCCGCACTCTCCGCTCTGCATCTGCCAAACTGCTTGTTGCTCCTCACTGAGAGCAAAACACTCGACAAAATCACGACTCTTTGCTGTCCTCCTCCGAAATGGTGGAACGAGCTCTCTGAAGATGGTTGTCTAACCCAGAACATTACCTCTTAATGGTAATCACTAACTAACTACACTATCAACCACTTAAGGGTCAGATAATCATTACATTAACTCTTAATGCCTAATTGAAAGTTGATATTTGATCATCTCTAACCCTACACTATCAATCGCTCTGGAATCTGGTCTGGCATTGTGCTTATGGCCACGTTTTTATTGTTCAACTTGGATATGAGAGTCATGATCATATGAGATGATTGTCTTTCTGTTTGTACAAATTACGTAATACCAATAAGTTGTTATTAGTGATGAGTGGTGCAGAAAGTGTAATGGATGCCTATTTAAATCATTTCAAATGTGCCAGGTGCAACATTAAAGTGATGAGAATGGTTAATACATCAATCATTTGATTTTTGCTTTTACTTAATTTAGATTACATTTTAATATAATTCGAGGGGTGAGGTATAGTATAAGGTCAAGGTTGTAAAGGGTTAGGCTACATAAATAATACAGTAGAAGTCAAGGAGCAGAATTTAGATTGCATGATTTCCCACACGCCCTGAATGCAGCATGTAGCGTCACTGACACCGACCAATCAGATAACGTAGCTGCTAAAAGCTTAGCTCGTCTTCTGTAGCTAGCATAACTGTACGAGGCTGTAAACACATTCTATATTCGGATATATTCCTCTTTTCCCGGTAGGAGACTTTTTCTATTTATATATAAACTGATGGGGTTCGAGGGCAGTTGTCATAGGGGTCAGCTTAGCTTAGCTTACTAGTTGACTTTAGCTCAATATAAAAGTAGGGGACGACCCTCAGTTCAAGAGAACTAACGTTAGCTCTTAGCATTTGCAGGGTTAGTAACGTTACCTGTAGTGGGCCTTTTATTTCCTCCATAAATTGTAGTACTTCTTATATACAGTCTCTGTGTACTTATGAATCACAGTACTATAGTACTTCTTATATAAAGTATTTGTCACCTACAGTACTTCTTATATACTACATAGACTGTAGTACTTCTCATATACAGTCTGTGTACTTTGTTACTTATATACAGTCTATTTGTACTGTAGTACTTTTTATATGTATCTCGGATAAACGGCTCCAGTCAACACATTTTCTCTCAATTTAATGAGAAAGTGTTTGACTGGTACATGTGTGATATAAACGGACCGGTTATATACATACACATCTGTGTGTATACAATACACTTTAATATATATGTATATCTCTGCAAAGTTCAAAGGTCATAGCTGTGGTCTGTGTGTACTGTAGTATTTCTTATACATAGACATTAGTACTTCTTATACAGTGTACTGCAGTAGCCTAAATGTTATTTCTATCTCTCTGGAGAGGTCATAGGTCATTGCCACAGGCTGTTCATGGTGACCTCCGGGAGAGAAGATCCTCATCATCATCATCATCATCATCATCATGTCCTTAACTGAGGAGAAGCCTGAGAAGTGAGACTCAATCATTATATTCTGTTAACTAAAAGTTTTTTTTATTATCATTTTTTTAATACAACAAAATTCTGTTTGGTAGCACAAAGTCAGCCAGTAGCACAAACAATATACGATAGATAGAGATAAGATAGAGATAAACCGGAGGAATAAGTTAATAATACCAAAGACAAAAATACAAAACGTGAATAAAAAAATGACTGAAGTACAAAATACTTCAGTAATAAATTAAAGCTGCAAGCAGCGATGGCCAGGTCCTCCCTACTCCGCAGGTCGGGGCACTGGCCGGAGGGCTGAAAACGCAGCCAAGAACTCCTGCGGCCGTTGGACAAAGCGTCCAAGAGTCAGTCAGTCGCTAACCATAAGGAGCGACACCAGAAATGCCGCTTTGCAAATTTTCATCTTTAACATCCAACTTTCTTCAAAATCTCATTCACAAGACTACTTCTGTTCAGTTGCAGATTGGATTTAAAAGGAAACAATCAATAGTTAGATCATTTCACTTCAGATTGATCGTACACATCCCCATGGTGTCACTCAGGGATAAGCAGGACATTATGATGTACCATTCCAAAATTAAAGCCTTTCAAAACACCATTCATGAGCCAATTTCCTTCAAAGTCTCAATTACAAGATTACATCTGGTCAATTTCAGATTAGATCTAAAAGGAAACACAGTGCACAGTATTTCCACTTCAGGCAGAGAGTACACATCCCCATGGTGTGACCCGGTGATAACCAGGACATTCTAATGTACCATTTTAGAAGTGTGTGTTTTTCACAAAATTCAAAATGGCGGAAAATGTAGTTCGCCGCATTTGCATACCATGATTGACTTTTTGCAGAGCAGATGTCAATCGGACATTGGGGGGTGGAACTGGCCTAGTGTGGTACTATGAGGGACGCTATAGGGACATTTCTTGATACCCAAATGCGAGACCCCCAAATTGTCACATTTTTGAACAGTCCTGAGTGTAGAGGCTACAGCTCTGGGGACGAAGCTGTTCCTCAGCCTTTTTGTGCGTGTTTGTATGCTTTTCCCTGATGGCGGGGGGACAAACAGACCTGGCTGGGTCGGCTCCTTGCTGATGTTGCTAGGGCTGCAACTAACGATTATTTTTTCGATTAGTCGACTAATCTAACGATTATTTACCAGTGTAGGAGCGTGGAAACAAACAAAGAGGCAAGTATTCCTTTTGGCTACAACGCGTGACCGTTTATTCCCATTCAATAATTTTGGATTTTGAACTTCAAATGTATTTGAGTAACAAGTTGATACAAATGTAATCATAATAATAAATACATTGAATAGTAATACAAAATGTGAAAATATGCGTTTAAAAGTAAAGAGAAAGTGGAAATAAAGTTTTAAAAGTAACTCAATAGCAATAAAATCAAGTGACGAGCATGTTGAGGATGTTCTCTGCCTCCTTCATCTGAGTGCACGAGCCTCTGAAGGACAAACTCGTGCACGTGCCTTTGCTAAGTACTAAAGGAGAAAGACAAAAACACAAAGCTTTAATGATCACGTTGTAGGCTTTAGTTTTTTTTATTATGCTGGAGTAGATGTCTCGTATTTGTGTTGAAATTATTTTTGGGTTTGAAGAGTGCTAACAAAAAGACAGGCTACAATAATTCACTGATTTACTGCACTGCATTTAACATAATAGCGTTAGCAAGCATCCTCCGTCAGACGTTCTAAAAGACTAACAAATTGTAGCACTTAAATTGCACTTATAACGCTATCTATAGCAATTTGTAAATTGGCTTATTTGAGGAAATTGCACTTTCTTGTTTCTTGTTCTTCTGAGTTTGTATCCTTATGGTTGAATGCACTTATTGTAAGTCGCTTTGGATAAAAGCGTCAACTAAATGACATGTGATGTAATTTTCTGTTCTCCAACACGTAAGTGTAAACCTTACGATAAGCTAACAAGGCTAGCGTTACTTTAGTTAGCTAAACTTACCCACGAGGAGGCTTTTTTGACTCTCACGTTCAACTTGATAAACTTGTTCTTTTCCTTGGTGCATGTAGACAATAGAAGCGATAGCGCCCCCAGCATGTCCTGCGATGTATTGCAATGCTGATGGAAAAAGATCCATAGCTCTTTCTAATATATGACGCGTCGACGATAGAAATCCGCGTCGACGATAGAAATCCGCGCCGACGATTTTTTATTACCGCCGATTACGTCGACTAATCGTTGCAGCCCTAGTTGTTGCTGGCCTTCTTGTGTAGACTGCGAGCATACAGCGTGTCCAGAGTCTGGAGCTTGGTCCCTATGATCCTCTGGCTGACTATCTGGGCCAGGTCTGTGTACCACACGGTGGCGCTATAGCAGAGAATTGTCTCGATGGTGCTCATGTAGAAGTTGATCAGCAGCTGAGAGGTGAGTTTTGCTTTCTTGAGTTTCCTCAAGAAGAAGAGCCTCTGTTGGGATTTTTTCACCAGGTGGGAGGTATTGATGGTCCATTTGAGATTCTTTGTTATGTGGGTTCCTAGAGATTTGCTTTCACTCACACTCTCCTCCTTCTCCCTGTTTATGTGGAGAGGAGGAGGTGTGGTCTTCCTGGTTGTCCTGAAATCCACGATGATCTCTTTGGTCTGTAATGTGCCTCCTTGTTGTCTGATATCAGACCTACTGAAGTGGTGTCATCAGCAAACGTCACTATAGTGTGTAGGACTGCATGGGTTTGCAGTCATTGGTGTGAGTGTGAAGACGGCCGGACTGTGCAGGCAGCCCTGTGGAGCTCCTGTGTTCTGGATGAAGGTGGAGGATGCCATTCTGACGGTATGTGGATAATCCAAGGTTATTGAGTTTGTCTACCAGTTTATGGGGGACTATTGTGTTGAAAGCGGAGGAGGAATCAATGTGTTTGGATGCTCCAGGTGGGTCAGGGGTGTGTGGAGTGCCATTGTCACAGCATCTTCCTTGATCTGTTTCCCCGGTAGGCAAACTGGTGGCTGTCCAGATCATTGAGGTTGTTACCCTCGATTTGGATATTACAAGTCTCCTTAAGCACTTTATCATAATTTTTGTCAGGGCTATTGGGGTAGTTGTTGAGACATATGTCCGTTTGTAATGGTAGTGTGTTTGAGGCATGTGAGTACAACAGACTGTTGCTGTGATTGGCTAAAGATGTTGGTAAACACCCCGGCTGTTGGTCGGCACATGACTTCACTGTACGGTCTGGTACCCTGTCTGGTCCTGCTGCTTTGGTGATCTTCATCACAGTGGATCTCAGCAGGTAGCAGTGTAGGACAAGTGCAGGGTGGTGTGGTTGCAGTTGTCACTTTGATGGTGTTGTTGTCAAAGCGAGCAAATAACTTGTTGAGGACATCAGAGAGGGCGGCATCATGGCTGGTCTGTGAGGTGCGTTTTTGTAGTCTGTTAAGACTTTGATGCCTCTCCACATGCTGCGCGGGTTGTTTCAAAATGCCCCCCGGTACGCTGCTGGTATCTGCTTTTGGCTTCTCAGATGCTTTTCTTCGGTTCTTTGTGGGCATTGCTGTAGGCCAAGCTGTCTCCTGACCTGTAGGCAGCATTTTGTGCTTTAAGCTGAGACCGTTCATTCCTGTCTAACCATAGTTTTGGGTTTGGCAACACCTTGATTGTTTTGGTGGTGAGCATGGTCTCATTGCAGTAGACTATGTTAGTCAAGTCAGATGAGCGGTATTCCTTCAGGTCTGTGCTCTGTGCGAACAGGTCGCTGTCTGTGTTTTCAAAACAGTCCTGCAGCAGAGAAGTGGACTCTTCCCTCCAGACTTGGACGGTTTTGACAGTTGGTCTTCTTCTGCAGATCAGGGGTTTATAAGATGGGTCATTTTTATTGAGATGTGGTCTGACCGTGATGATGAAGTTGTATATGCGTCTGGGATATTTGTAAAACGTTTTACATTTTTGTACAGTTTGGGCATTACAGTCTTAAAATCAATTTGATCAGTCTCCTGCTATGATCACAGCTCCCATCTTGGTTTCTAATCTTTTGTGATTTATACAGAACATCTAGAACATTTAAGCCGCTTGTATTTCTTTGATACGTCCTGTGTAAGTGTCTGTGTCAGTGGTTAACCTCTGACCTCTTTAAAGCCTGTTAACCGTATCAACTCCCTGTGGCTGTGTATCCAGTCACACACACACACACACACACACACACTGCCAGAGATAAACACACAGAGACACAGTTGGTACCACTGTGTGTCTCATCATGTGTGTGTCTGTGTGTCCCTCTAGACACTGCTGGGTGTGCTTCGCCTCTGAGAGAGACGACCTTAATGCCGACTGGGTGAGCCCCTGCAGGTGTAAAGGATCCACTAAATGGATCCACCAACTGTGTCTTCAGCGCTGGCTGGATGAGAAGCAGAAAGGAAACGGCGGAGGAGCAGTGAGCTGTCCTCAATGTGGCACCGAATACCACATCTCCTTCCCTAAGATGGGTAAGTTGGGGTCCAAGTCTCAAACCTTAACCTGTCATCCGGAAGAACTTCTGTAGACAATACAAGTGCATCTCAATCAATTGATATGTCATCTAAAATATAATTGATCTCAGTAAGTCAAGTGCAAAAAGTGAAACACAGATATTACATAGATCCATTATACACACGGTGATGTATTTGAAGTCTTTTTGTTCAAATTTGGCTGATTATGGCATACAGCTAATGAAAAGCCCAGATTCATTATCTTAGAAAGTTAGAATTTTTCATAGCCTAATTAAAAAACAATTATGTTGTTGCGGTATGTCCTACTGAAAGGTATGTAACAGTGCACAGTATGTACTCATGAAACTCGTCAGCGCAGGGAAGCGTGAAGTGCTCTAAAGTTTCCTGGTGCTGCGCTAACTTTGGACTTGATTAAACACAGTGGACCAACAAATCGCCACCGCTCACAATATTCTCATGTTCTGAGATACTAATTCTGGGGTTTTCATTAGATGTAAGCCATGATGATCAACATTTAAACAAATAACCGCTCCGTTTATATCACTGTGTGAAATTAATCTACACAACATAATACATTGAATTACTGAAATAAATTCTGATTATATTCTAATTCATTGAGATGCCCCTGTAATCCCTCTCCACACATTCTTTAAAATAGCAACCATATGCAACTAAAGTACAAAATAGGTTTTAGTCGCAAATAAGACAAAACACCCAATACCGCAAACCAAAGTATTTTTTAATTATTCTTCTGGAACGTTATCTTCTATCTTTCTTTGCTTTCTGCAGTAGAAGCAGTGTTCAGCAGTGTTCTCGTCTGTCTTTAGGCCCCTTGGTGTTTCTGCTCCAGCAAGTGGACAGAGCACTCTCACGGATCAGTCCATTTGCTGCTGTGGGGGTGATGGTCGGCACCATCTACTGGTCAGCCGTCACATACGGAGCTGTGACTGTCATGCAGGTCCACACTATGTATTGCAGAGGGGTAAGGTGAACCTAGAGTGCTGCACTGTGCTGACCTCTTGCTCTTGCTCCAGGTCGTTGGACACAAGAAGGGTCTTTACTTGATGGAGCGAGCCGACCCGCTCTTCCTGCTCATGGGGCTGCCCACTATCCCTGTCCTGCTGGTGCTGGGAAAAATGATCCGCTGGGAGGACCATGTGGTGAGGCTGCTGCAGAGGTACTCATACAGAGGGAAGCTGCCGCCAGGTACACACACACACATACACACACACACACACACACACACACACACACACACACACACACACACACACACACACACACACACACACACACACACGACTGTGTGGAGATAATTAATTATTGGTTTTGGCCAACAGATACAATTTTTCAATTGCGTGCAATCACATGAATCTCTGTGATTTAATTGCCTTGTAATGTGCGAAATTCAGCAATGAATCCAAAAGTTGTGTGTTGCGTACTTTTATTTTAAAGTACTGCTATATGAACAAATACACTAACATTTGGCTGGCAAACACATTAAACAAATAAGGTGTTTCTTAAACGGCAGCATTCCTCTTTACACAGCAGCAAGTACAATATTGTAAATCTCAACTTAAATAT